AGGGGATCAAATACTTTCTTCCCTCACTGTATCTATCTAATAGAACTCAGAGGGTTTTCTTTAATGGAAGCCTCTCTAATGTCAAACATTTAGGGTGTATTGTACTGCAGGGCAGCGCTCTAGGCCCTTTACTCTTTTCTATTTTTACCAATGACCTGCCACTGGCATTAAACAAAGCCTGTGTGTCTATGTATGCTGATGATTCAACCATATACGTACCAGCAACCACAGCTAATGAAGTCACTGAAACCCTTAACAAAGAGTTGCAGTCAGTTTTGGAATGGGTGGCCAGTAATAAACTGGTCCTGATCATCTCTAAAACTAGGAGCATTGTATTTGGTACAAATCATTCCCTAAGCTCTAGACCTCAGTTGAATCTGGTAATGATTCAATGGTTGTAAAGATGGGGAGAGGTCTGTCCATATTCAAGAGATGCTCTGCTTTTTTGACACCACACTCCAAAGAGCAAGTCCTGCAGACTCTAATTTTGTCTTATCTTAATTATTGTCCAGTCATGTGGTCAAGTGCTGCAAATAAATACTTAGTTAAGCTGCAGCTGGCCCAGAACAGAGTGGCACGTCTTGCTCTTCATTGTAATCAGAGGGCTAATATTAATCACAGGAGGTTGGTGGCACAGATACGTGGTAATGGCTGGAGCGGAATATGTGGAAAGGTATCAACAACATTAAACAAATGCTTTCCATGTGTTTGATGCCATTTCATTCGCTCTGTTCCAGCCATTATTATGAGCCATCCTCCCCTCAGCAGCCTCCACTGATATTAATACTATGCATGCCAGTCTCTCTTGGCTAAGAGTTGAGGAGAGACTGACTGTAGCAATTCTTCTTTTAATAAGAAACAATGTGTTGAAAATTCCAAATTGTTTGCATAGTCAACCTACACACAGCTCTGACACACACACTTACCCCACCAGACATGCCACCAGGAGTCTTTTCACAGTCTTCAAATCCAGAACAAATTCAAGAAAGCGTACAGTATTATATAGAGACAATTATTGCATGGAACTCCCTTCCATCTCATATTGCTCAAATGAACGTCAAACCTGATTTAAAAAAACTGATAAAGCAACACGTCACGCACAGCACAACGCCTCTCCCCTATTTGACCTAGACATTTTGTGTGTATGTATTGATATGTAGGCTATGTGTGCCATTTTAAAATGTATGTAGTTCTGTCCTTGAGCTGTTCTTTTCTATTCATGTTTTGTATTATCTCATGTTTCATGTTTTGTGTGAAGAGTATCTGCTGCCTTCGCAATAGCTAATGAGGATCCTAATTAAATACCAAATAGATTTCAGTTTATTCTGAAGTATTTTAAGGATTTCACTTTGCTATCACTTCATCAACTGTTCTGATTACCTGTTGGCCAATTCCTCTTTTATTGCTCTTCTCCATAACTGTAGACATTAAACTCACTATACTCAACATTAGCTTTATTCAAGTTGTGAATATTAGACTATTGCACCACCAGTCCTGACACCAGTTGGGAGCACAATACTAAAACCAAACGTGTTCAGACTCAGACTGCCATTTCAACACTACACACGTTGTTTTATGAATGCAAGTTTCAAGGCCACCACTTCCTTTCTCTTCTACTCAACAATGGCAGGTTTTTACTGGAAACCAGTCCCACTGACTAAAAACAGACTGGGGTTTTGTTGTAAACTGAAGTACCGTTACAAAACTAGGTTTTACGTGAGAGCCTTCACAACTGTTAACCATATAGTGCCACAAGCTCCAACCACCATCAACTATTTCTGTTTAGTGTTTTCAGTATGCAGTGACCAGAGCTCCACAAGTACAGAAAGACATACACTATTCTGGAGAATTACTATTACCTCCATCCTGTGACACAGCAAACTGCAGCTCCTGTTGATGAAGCTAATACGAGGGGGGAGTTCATTCTAAATGAGAATCACCAGAATGTGTTCTAGTTCCACTCCCATCAATCATGGGAAGAGGACATGACCTCGCTCAGTCCCCTAATGATTGTAATTCTGTCAACTGTGTGCTGTGCATGTAAATACAGTTGGTTTTCTGTCCATCTTAAATGTAAACTGATTTGGGTGGGACCTGTCTTTCGGTCTATGTAAGCTAAAACACAGAATACATGTGGTTTCTGAGGAGCAATATGAAAATGACTGTACTATTCACAGCTTATTTGATGAACATAGCCAGCTAACTGAGCCAGACTTAAACCACATGAATGGATATGAGAGAGAGAGAGGGAAGTCCCAGAGTACTCATTCTGAGACAGAAAAATTGATTCATTCAGGCCAGGGAAAAGACAGAGCTTTGAGTTGTAGAGTAAATGTAACACTAGGGCTTAAACCTTTTGGAAATGTGTTGTTAACTAGAGACAGCCTGTCCTTGTCTCCTGTCCCATATGAGCTGAGTGTGCTGAATTGGATAGATGGCGGTTTGCATTCACCTCTTCCAGTCGTTTTATATCTGTGGTAAGGAAAGGAATGCAATCTAAACTGAACCAGTGCACTTGGGATAATGTCTGTGAAACAGGTGCTACATTCTAGATAGCTCACGCCCCCCTATCTTCTTGTCACTCAGAAATGAAAGTCTATGACTCGGCACTCTAGTCTCATCACAAACCTGGGTCCTATAGAAATGTAGATAAATAATGTATTAACTACGCATTCCGTTCATATTTATGATGGGCAGTATGAAATGTGCGTAACGTGCATAATAAGACAGTTTTCCAAAGGGCTTTGTTTGTCAACGGTTCAAAGACAATTCGTTTTCAAAAATACAAAAAGCAAGCTAGACTTCTCTCATGCTGACATCGCATACTTCCTTTTATCTCTGCAAACCGCCCTTTACAAGAGTGCTCTGTAGTCTCCACATTTTAAAAAATTTATCAGCTAGCGTCATACGTGCTTCACTTCCGAAATGTCAATTTCAGAGGGAAGTTATCGTTCAAATGTATCCATAAATATGTACATAGTCTTATTGCTGCACCCTAGTTGGCCCTTGTGTGTACATTACTTATATTTCCATTCAAGTACCACTGTATGGCTTCCTCAAACTACAAAATATTATTTAATATTATGTAGAATATTCGTAGTCTTCATGTGTGTCTAGTCACTAACAAAAATATATCAAATCTGTTATTTCGCATGTAATTACTACTTACCCATTATTAAAAGTAGTGCAGAATATTTCTGGTTTGCGCCAGTTCAGGAACGAGTTAGGTGGATAATACATTTTGACCAAGTTATTTCGATGTTTGCAAAAGTCCTTCTAAAACGGACTAAGCAGTGTAGCTACCTAACTGATCGAAGTCCTGCCTTCTCATGTACAGTAACACTAGGCGTTTGCAGTTCTGCAGCCATTCATAGCTTTGGAGTAGAACTGTGACACTTTTCTTCGTAGTTGGTCACACCCACCTTACTCCACGAACTGCCAACTTTGCCATTCAAATGTTGTCTTAATTGAATGTCTGTTTGTGCACATATGTAGGCACTTTTATGACAACTTAATCGGGGGCAGACTGTGACCAAAAATCGTCCCTGCCATTTCGAACACACTGTACAATTTTTTTCCATTGAGGCCCCCACACCTGTCCATTTTTTTCCTCAAGGTCCCCACACCAGCTAATTTTTTCTCGAGGCCCCCATTATTTGCCAGATAATTATAATTTTGTGCCAAAAATCCAAGTTCGACAGTTCCACTAGGCTAAAACTGGACCAGCCCATCTGGCATTTGCCCGAAATGCCAGATGGCCAGTAAACACGACTAGAATAATAAAAAATGTAGCCTATTTATAAACTGGACATTTGATTCTCTTTCTGCATGCAATAATTTTTTTAGCATTAAGGACCAATATACATTTTTTATTTATTTGTTTTGTGTTATTGTTATGTATACTGGCCTTGTTTCAATGTTGACTTAGGAAGTGAGAACCTCCAGGGCCACAGGGTGTGTACCAGTATGACATACATAGAATGTCTTGTGTAAACAGCCCGCTCCCTAGGGCACTGATTCCCACACACTTATTAAAGGCATCACCTTTGAAGGTCATAAACTCATGAATACACCCACTCGCTCTACAGTTTCGGTTGGCCATTGACCTGTAAAATCCCATGACATGTTTGGAATATGAAGTTGTAGATCCTATTACACATTTCATGGATGTCCACAGAAGAATAAACCAAATGGCAATGTCATACTTCTTACAGAGGAAAAAATACACAGCATCACTGCCTCTTTGTACCAGCTTCGGAACTGGTTGCTGCCTCCCCAGAGAATTTGCACTATTACTCACTTCACTTTGCTGGTTGCCACAATGTTCCAAAACAGTATTCAATTATACTGTATAGAAACTACAAGAGAGAATCAGTTACCCACATTGTACTTGCAGCATGCCACACTCCCCTTCCAATAAGTTAAGAGAAAAGTTGCACCACTCAATTTAAAAGGTCCAAAGCAGCCATTTTTTTTATCTCCTTACTGTGATTGTTTTCAATTAAAACTGTCTTTCTTTTTTTTTTTTTTTACAAAAATTGCTTCTAAGTAAAGGGCAAGTTCTCAAGCAAGAATTTGGCTAGGACTGTATGAGTGGAATGAGTTGGGAGGGGAAAACTGAAAAATTTGCTGTTATTGGGGGAGAGGTTTGGAACTTTCTTAATGGTCTATTAACTCATTTACTGCATCCCACCAAAACAGGCTGAAATATCAGCCGGTATTTTCAAACAGCACTTACACTGAAAGGGCATTATCATCATTTTCACAGTATTATTCTAACCTTAAGTGTGGAAATGAATATAAAATACTGGAAAATAACATTTTTGACTGCACTGGGCCTTTAAATTCCTCACATTCTCTGATGGTTCTCCCTTGCAAAATCAAATACTTTTGTGTGTGTCTGTAATGTTCACTGAACCACATGACAGCATTCCTGCTAATATGGTATGTATGCAATCCATCTGAAACAGCTCTGTGTGCCTTTCATGCAAGTTGGTCCTACAGATGCCACAAAAAAGCTATTGCCAAAGTAGTTTTTTTAGAGCATGACTGTATACCATGGGGACACAAACAGCTAGGCCCTGTATAACATGGTCAAGATGAGGACACAAAGCTATTTGGGTATACGGTGCATTCGGAAAGTATCCAGACCTCTTGTCTTTTTCCACGTTGTTGCGTTACAGCCTTATTCTAAAATTGACTGATGAAAAAAACAAAAAAACATCTACACATTATACCCCATAAAGACAAAGTAAAAACAGGTTTTTAGAAATGTTTGCATATTTATTACAAACAAAAAACAGAAATACCTTATTTACATGATGCGAAGGTTATTTGCTGCATGGAAGAGGTCTGAATACTTTCCGAATGCACTGTACAGGGCCAAAAGAAAACAGATTTGTATGGGGTGAAGTGGGTGTGGTATTTGTTGCAGGATGTTTTCCATTATACTGTGGAATGTTCCCAGAGCAGTTATGTTGTCAGATCACAGCTCAGGCCAATGCATTCTGTTGCACCACAGCCCACGCACTACCTCCCAACACATACTGCAGAGACTAAACTAATATCTGAACAACTTTTCCGGAACAACTTTTCTGATAATTAATTTAAGGTAACAGTCTAGACTGTATCCAGTGCCGGAACGTCTCTTGTAATGGAAAATACAAAATGGCAACACTGCAACCACACAGAGTTAGCCAAAATAACATGTACAATGCTTGGTCATTCACATCCATGATAGTTAATAGCTTTACCTTTAAATACATTCAGTGCAAATACTTGTCACTTACACTAACATTAGTCTCAAATCACATTTTATTTACTGCATTATTATATATTGAATACAAACATAAGTACAGTACAAACATTTGACATACCATCTGTATCAAGAAAGCCTTTACAATGAAATGTTATATCATATCAGGTCCATTTCTTGCGAGCTGCAACAAGCAGTACAGAGTGACCCTTGTGGGTCAAGACCAGGGTAAAGTCAGAGACCAAGGTTAGAGGTCAAAGGTCAGGGTAATATCAACAGGCCAGTTGTCCGGTCCAGAAGCCTGCAGTCCCTAGGAGCAGAGGGCCCAAACGCAGCAGGGCGCGTACAGGGATGCCCAGCTGACTGAACTTCAACAGGAGCTCAGGGAATGATGTACTTCCTGTGGAACCAGGTGAGCGGATTGGTAGAGACATGAGTGAGACATGACTTCTCCACACATGACACAAAAGGAGTCAGATAAGAATCCAGCAGTCAGCCAAAAGAGAGACCACCATAGTCAAACATGTTAGGTTCAAACTAAACGTAAATCTAACGACAACATTTAGCTAACAGTTGTTTACCTTCCAGGTGTGTGGCAGACATCTTACTGAGGCAGGGGATGGAGTGGTAAACCAGGAAGCACGCCAGCATGTTGGACAGCATGTCCTCAGTAAGGGACTGGCCACTCATGTATGACCTCAACACATGGCTGTTATCTGTGGAGACGGGGGAGGGGTTTCACACACACGTCAGATGCAATCATGGAATGGACCTGATTATTTGTCAATAACAGCTGGTGCACGATGTCTAATATTAAGGAAGTCTTGAGGTATTGCTCGCCTGAGGTAGAGTACCTCATGATAAGCTGTAGACCACACTATCTACCAAGAGAGTTTTCATCTATATTTTTCGTAGCCGTCTATTTACCACCACAAACTGATGCTGGCACTAAGACCGCACTCAACGAGCTGTATAAGGCCATAAAGCGAACAAGAAAATGCTCATACAGAAGCGGCACTCCTAGTGGCCGGGGACTTTAATGCAGGCAAACTTAAATCTGTTTTACCTCATTTCTACCAGAGGGAAAAAAACTCTAGATCACCTTTACTCCACACACAGAGACACATACAAAGCTCTCCCTCCCCCTCCATTTGGCAAATCTGACCATAATTATATCCTCCTGATTCCTGCTTACAAGCAAAAACAAAGCAGGAAGTACCAGTGACTCGCTCAATACGGAAGTGGTCAGATGATGCGGATGCTACACTACAGGACTGTTTTGCAGGCACAGACTGGAATATGTTCCAGGAGTCATCCAATGGCATTGAGGAGTATACCACCTCAGTCACCAGCTTCATCAATAAGTGCATCGACGACGTCGTCCCAACAGTGACCGTACGTACATATCCCAACAAGAAGCCATGGATTACAGGCTACACCTGCACCGAGTTAAAGGCTAGAGCTGCCGCTTTCAAGGAGCGGGACACTAATCCAGACGCTTATAAGAAATCCTGCTTTGCCCTCAGACAAACCATCAAACAGGCAAAGCGTCAATAAAGGACTAAGATTGAATCCTACTACACCGGCTCTGACGCTTGTCGGATGTGGCAGGGCTTGCAACCTATTATGGATTACAAAGGGAAACCCAGCCGGCCAGTGACGCGAGCCTACCAGACGGGCTAAATGCCTTTATGCTCGCTTCGAGGCAAGCAACACTGAAGCATACATGAGAGCACCAGCTGTTCCGGATGACTGTGTGATCACACTCTCCGTAGCCGATGTGAGCAAAACCTTTAAACAGGTCAACATTCACAAGGCCGCTGGGCCAGATGGATTACACCAGGACGTGTACTCAAAGCATGTGCCGACCAACTGGCAAGTGTCTTCACTGACTTTTCCAACCTCTCCCTGACCGAGTCCGTAATACCTACATGTTTCAAGCAGACCACCATAGTCCCTGTGCCCAAGAAAGCGAAAGTAACCTGCCTAAATGACTACCGCCCCGTAGCACTCATGCCGGTAGCCATGATGTGCTTTGAAAGGCTGGTCATGGCTCACATCAACACCATCATCCCAGAAACGCTAGACCCACTCCAATTCGCAAACCGCCCCAACAGATCCACAGATGACGCAACCTCAATCGCAATCCACATTGCCCTTTCCCACCTGGACAAAAGAAACACCTATGTGAGAATGCTGTTCATTGACTACAGCTCAGCGTTCAACACCATAGTGCCCACAAAGCTCATCACTAAGCTAAGGACCCTGGGACTAAACACCTCCCTCTGCAACTCGATTCTGGACTTCCTGACGGGCCGCCCCCAGGTGGTAAGGGTAGGCAACAACACATCTGCCACGCTGACCCTCAACACGGGTGCCCCTCAGGGGTATGTGCTTAGTCCCCTCCTGTACTCCCTGTTCACCCACGACTGCGTGGCCAAGCACGACTCCAACACCATCATTAAGTTTGCTGACGACACAACAGTGGTAGGCCTGATCACTGACAACGATGAGACAGCCTATAGGGAGGTCGTCAGAAACCTGGCAGTGTGGTGCCAGGACAACAACCTCTCCCTCAATGTGAGCAAGACAAAGGAGCTGATCGTGGACTACAGGAAAAGGAGGGCCGAAAACGCCCCATTCACATACGGGGCTGTAATGTAACAGGTCGAGAGTTTCAAGTTCCTTGGTGTCCACATCACCAACAAACTATCATGGTCCAAACACACCAAGACAGTCGTGAAAAGGGCAAGACAATGCCTTTTCCCCCTCAGGAGACTGAAAAGATTTGGCATGGGTCCCCAGATCCTCAAAAGGTTCTACAGCTGCACCATCGAGAGCATCACCGCCTGGTATGGCAACTGCTCGGCATCCGACCTTAAGGCACTACAGAGGGTAGTGCATACGGCCCAGTACGTCACTGGGGCCAAGCTTCCTGCCATTTAGGACCTATATACTATGCGGTCAGAGGAATGCCCCAAAAATTGTCAAAGACTGCAATCACCCAAGTCAGACTGTTCTCTCTGCTACCGCACGGCAAGCGGTAACGGAGCGCCAAGTCTAGGTCCAAAAGGCTCCTTAACAGCTTCTACCCACAAGCCATAAGACTGCTGAACAATTAATCAAATGGCCACCCAGACTATTTGCATTGACACCCCCCCACATTGACTCGGTACCGGTACCTCCTGTATATAGCATCGTTATTGTAATTTTATTGTGTTACTTTTTTTAAAACGTTTTTTTCACTTTAGTTTATTTAGTAAATATTATTTTTATTTTCTAAACTCTATTTTCTTAAAACTGCATTGTTGGTTAAGGGCTTGTAAATAAGCATTTCACGGTAATGTCTACACCTGTTGTATTCGGCGCATGTGACAATGTTTTTTATTTTTTATTTGATTTATTCCTAATGTAACACTATCACATAATCTGTTTTCTATTGATGGTTGCCACTTGCCAATATTTATTGAGAAAGAAAGCCTGCCATAGCAACCTCCCATGTTTCCCACGTCTTTACAGTTGTCACACCCAAAGACATGTTCTGGCACGTACAGTCCCATTGACGGGAACTGTGTGTCACAATACAGGTACACACTTCTACAAACTGTACTGTTTACATTCAAATGTACAGTTCATTCAAATTGATGTGTTAACAGTCTATCCTCTGTGCCTCTCCCAATGTGTTGAGACTGCTCACCAGTGAGCCAGCGGTCCAGGGTGCCATCGGCAGAGTTCTTCATGACAGGCAGGAACTCAGAGCTGAGCAGCAGCCCCCTGCCCTGTGCCCCCTCCCTCAGTCTGGGCTGCAGCACCCTGCTCTCACACAGCTCCAACACTAGTCTCATCTGCCACAGAGCAAACGTCTCACACATCTCCGTCTGCGCCAGGGTTCGTACCGCCTGGGGGAGAAAACAGTCAACACACACACTAGGAGATGACATTGGAGAAATACAATCGAGAGCACATTGAAATGACATCAGTTTGCATTGGGAAAAGTAAATCTATGAAAACTATTATAGATCTGTCATTCTCATTGAAAGCAAGTATAAGAAGCGGTATATATGTTCTATGTACGCTGTTTCTATGCTTTCCATGCTTAAGTTAGGTTTTTTGAGTCTTTTACTTTTGGTTATGGAAAATATATTTCACAGCAGTTTAGATGGTGAATGATTCTCTACACTATACTTGCTTGTTTTGTCACTTAAACTGAAATTAGGCGAACTATCAGAACTTTAACAACCAGGAAATGGCAGAGCAATTTCTGCATAGCGCATCTTTAACTAACAGTAATACAGTTGCATTCTATGAGTGGGAGCATGTACATCAGGGCTCTCCAACCCTGTTCCAGGAGAGCTACCGACCTGTACGTTTTTACGGCAACCCTAATTTAGTGCACATTATTCTAATAATTAGCATGTTGATAAACTGAATCAGGCTAGTTACAACTGGGGTTGGAGCGAAAACCTACAGGAGGTTAGCTCTCCAGGAACAGGGTTGGAGACCACTGTTGCTAATGTATGAGTCATTTCTATGTTTCTTACCTGATCAATAGCGATGTAGGTAGGCAGCATCTCAGGGTTCTCCTGAGTGACACACTCATATAGAATGGCAGAGAATAAGGCCAAAGTGTCCTGTTTCTGGACAAAGACAACAACAGTAAATATAAGTGCCATTCAGTGCGAGCTTATCAATTGAACAATCAGAAACAAAACTTTGGAATTATAAAATAGGTTTCAATAATTGAAATAAAATCATGAACAAAAGGATAGAACCAATCTCCTTCAATTTCAGTGTATTCAAAAAATAAAATCTCCAACATCTCCAATTATATATACTGATGCAATATGTACCTGGTGGAAATGGGATTCAAATTATTAACAAGTGCATTCACAAGGGGAGAGACATAGGCAGTCTAAGTCAAATGTTTCCTTTGTGTAGGCTCCGTGTTTGAATGTTAAACTATAGCTGCTACGTGCCTCCTGCTGCACCATACTCTGCTAATGAACTCACATGTTTCACACTCTCCGAGGCTTTACAGAAGTATTCAGCAAAGGAGACCAAGGCAGCGTCAGAGGTGAAGGTTGAGATGGCCTCGGGCTGTGGGAGAAAAAAAAACGTGCTACAACAAGGTCTGCTGATCGTGCCTAAGGGAGGCACTCACACTGAAGGCTATGGGAGGTTTCCAATGAGGGATGCTGTATTGCATCTAGTGGGACATATTGACTGAGAAGGCTATTGGGTCATAGGCAGGTACGGAGGTTGACATTGAGTGCACAGGGAAGTAAGTGGTCACACATACTGTCAAGAAATATTGGTTTCGTTCCGCCACTCCAGAGTGATGTCACGTGACTACTCCTTGTTATACTGGGATTATATGAGCATCAATATAACCTATTTTTAGGCCCTTTCTGAAGCATGAATGAGACTCATTATACTAGGTCTGTTATATTGATTTCAGCTATTCAATTTCCTCAACGTTGACATACATGTGTGTACTGGTCTATGTATGCCAGCCATACTCAACAGGACCTTTGCCACCTAAGACATTTGTGTGACCAGACCTTCTCAAATAGACCATATGACCTGTATGGTAAAGTATGACTGAACTTTCTATGTATACAATATTAATATAGTACTAAAGTAGCACTAATGTAGAAACATGTTGTAGCTTTTTTGCACCATAAAAGGTTTGGACTGTTGTCCAGACTGTCCAGTTTTGTGTAATCGGAGGGCCAGGATGTTTGTACCTTGAATGTGCGGACTTCTGAGTTCCTGTTGTTGACATTGGGGGCTAATAGACTCTTCCAACCCCGAGGGTCGTCCTTATAGGGCAGCTGACCCGCACGCAGCTTCACATACAGAACCCCATCTCGGGACAGAATGGACCTACAACACATATATAGAGAAATATATAGTCAAATACACAGGAACACACATTTTGGGTCACCTGTTAGGATAGACATAACAATGTGCTGCCATTATCACCCATTATTGCAGCACATCACAAACTCTCTGTATCGTAAAGACATCAAAGGGCATTGACCTGCTAAGTTCTCACCCACAGAGATATCATGATATGAACATGTACATTGGGCCAGAAACTTTTCACAGACAAGTGGTGGACTTACTCTAGATGTCGAGTCCCTTTACTCATGTCTATGGACAGCTCCCAGTATCTTGGTCCTTTTACTTTAATCTGTAAGCACATTAAAACAAGTAGGTCAGCCAATCATCTTTTCAACTTTATTTTGAGAACAATGTGAAAAATATATGATTTTCTTGTAATAGTTGAGTTTGACCATCCTAAGTGACCTTTCCCTGTACTTTGTTATAAAGAGGAAGTAAGAAAAGCGTATCAATTGCATACACTGACAAATTGCATTACTCATTTTCAAACAAAATGTTTGTAATTCTTAATGTTGACATCAACCATCCTGCTTGACAAGACTAAACTAGCAGAATGATTGTGCAGCCTGACTACATTTGTCTGATAAAGTCCTACATTTTCTTCTACCTTTTTGAGGAGCTGCAGCTCAGGCAACATGGTGGGGGCCATCAACTCCACTGTAGTCTCTTCATACCACGGAGTCTCCTGATAAGGAGAAAAACACAATAAATATGCTCTGAAGACATTCATGAAGAAATTAACACAGAAACAAATGAACTGAAACATGGACTAAAGCTGTGTGCACAAAATAAAGAAAATGTAAATTCACCATTTACACATTAAAATCATGTACACGTGTGCTGCATGCAACATCATAGTGAACAAAGACATTTCGAAATATGCTGTGTGTGTACGTGCAGACAGCACAGAGATGAAGTGTGTGATTGCACACATGCATGGTGTGTCATTATAATCGATGTGTGCAGCATGTCTCTCCCTCTGCTGTTCTCGAGTAACTGAAATAAGGAGCACTTCATGGTGAACCCGCAAAACCAACCTTTAGCAGAACTTCAAGGAAAACTCCACTCCAAAACTATCTTTTGCAATTTTTTTCATTAGTCCACTGTCGATACAGTCCCAAAATGTTTTGCATGTCAGCAGTCAAGTTTTCAAGATATTGGATTTTGAAGAAGCGAAGTGACACTTTGCCACATCATCATGTGACACTTTGCTTCTTGAAAGTCCAATATCTTGGAAACTTGACTGCTGACATGCAACAAACACATTTTGGTACTGGATCAACAGTGGAATAATGAGCAAAATACCTTAAAGTTTTTGAATGGATTTTTCCTTTAACAGTGCGCATGTAATGCCATTTTAGGCTAATAATGAAATGACATACAGTACAAAAGCCTCCCCAAATAAGGCTAAGTAGAGGAAGTGACAACAAACAACGGCTATGTTCACAGGAACATTTATGACAAAAGAGAGCGCTTAGTCAGACACCTATGACGCTTTCAGTAAATGAGAGCGAAAAGGTTCAACTTGAGTTCTCCTGTGTAACAAGATCACTATTCAAAACAGGGAAGTCAACAGTTGCTTATTGTTACTACTATTAGCAGGGCCAAATTCTGAGGTATTGCATGTAGCTTAAACTTCTGCTATTGCCTCTTACTAATACAAGTGCGCAATGTACCAATCAGCTCTGTAGTGAAGGATCAGATGTGTACGTGCAAAACTGAAACTGGGAAGTGCATTCCAAAATGTTAACTTCCCCTCTATGAACACCTGTTTAGTTTAATCATTTTCAAGTTCATGGGTCTCCAGTGATTGATTTAACACATGGCGTTAATTCAGAATGAATGAGTCAGACTCATCTTAAAGGTATCACATATGAAGGTCATAGCAGACAGAGCTAGGATGACAGTAACTGGGCGTTATGACCACGCATCGGCCTCAACAGGTTGTATTTTGACTGGGGACTAATTCATTGAGTTGAATACCTTGTAGGTGACGTCCAGCAGGGCGTAGCAGGGTTTCAGTGTGTCCACATCGACTGGGACCAGCAGACGAGGCTCAGCCGCCAGGACTCCCAGGTGACGCAAAGCCTGCAGGTGGTACCTGAAGCACAGAGTTCACACACAGGGACACTCAATGAAGGTCCTGGAGGGCCACAGCATTGCTGCTTTTCACCCATTCCTTCTAAATCAAATCAACTTGATTCAATCAACAACTGAGTCAGACCCGGCCGGAACTGACCAGATGAGTGAACATTGTCTAATCAATTACAAATCAATTGATAAATCAACTAGCAGGTCGAAAAGAAAAATCTGCAATACTTCAACACGAGAGGGCCGGAACTGAATAGCCCTCATCTATATGGTATGCTTTAACTACTCTTAATTATGGTCATTGACTTAGAGCTCTTGACTTTTACAGCTCTGTCAGTAGAAGCTCTGATGGACTTTCTTATCTCGCCTCATGTAACACTCCCTCCCCGTCTCACGCCCCATTTTTCAATTCTTAAAATCTACAGCTCAAAACAGCAATACCTTCAAACAGTCCACCCCCCAAATTCATTATGGCCATTGAAAGTCTATGCTTTACTTTAGAACACTGTCTGTCCTGCCATTTTAGAGCTCTGATAAGCTGTACCTATTTGTTGTATTTCCTGAGGTTGTGTGTCTTACCGGTTGTCTGTGCTGTGGGCAGGGAAATGGGGGTAGAGAGCACAAAGCAAGGCAGCGATTGCTGAGTTGGAAGTGCTGAGAGTGTACCTGGGAGAAGACAATGGGATAACATCAGACCACTACATCATGGATACAGACATACATTTAAACAAACAGGCACATCACATCAGTGTTGATGTTGGCACATATTCCAATAGAATCCTTCTTTTGTGAATAGGTCCAAAGAACAAATGACGAATTTGGCCAGGGCAAAACAGTTTTGAATTGCTAGGCACCTGACGTCATTTGTGCTCATAAAAGCCCTACTTTAAAAAAAGAATGGCTGCTCTTAAGTGTGTGCTTAGGCTGGTTCAGACCATTGTGTCGGCTTGGAGAGAAAAATCACTTGTTTAGGTTAGTGTAGGGCAGGCATTGCCTCGCCTCCTCTTAAAATACCAACTGAAGAGATTAGTTCTCAACCCACGAGCTGCCACTCATCCAGTCTCCATGGCAACAGATAAAGAGAAGTGGCTGGGATGTTCCTGTTTTTACGAAGTGTATTACAGACAGAGGTGAAAAAACAGCACTATATTTACTACACGAGTCAGCTTGATAACAAGACCCACAAACATAGAGAGCAACAGTCAACCTCTGTTTGCTCAACACTGATCTCATCTTGAACTGTAGAGTAACATATTCACAGAGAATGGCTGTTCATTTAGCTCTTCTCAAATTCATTTTCAGAAACCTGTCCCTGAGCAATATTTCTATGTTTGAATTGACCCATTCCCTATGCTGAGACTAGGCTCACTTGCTGAACTCTGTAGCTACACAAAATGAGAAGATAATTGTTTCACTTCAGGTTCCATGATGAGAGCCAGACTGGCAGGGCTGTATGGTGATTGGTTACTATGCAGGATGAAATAGCTCTCCACAGACCACATCCAGAGAGAGAGAAAGAGATTGAGTGAGTGAAAGAAGAGATTAAAGGAAAGACGCCATGTGTCTGCTCCCCTCTACAATCTTTCCTTATGCAGGCGTATGTTGATGGCAAGAATAGGCTGAGAATACTACAATAAGGCCATTCAAATTGCAACCTTGAAGTTCTGGGCCTGCAATTGTCAGCCCTAAAATAAGACAGCAAGTCTAAAATCAAAGGGTTTGAACAGTAAATGTTGATAAGGAGGCAGATTTAGCATCAGTAATGAGTATTGTTACATAAAAATAGCTACACCATAGTCACCGTTTGCATAGCCCTGGGATATTTGAACTATTTGTTATGAAGAACACTTACATAACCGGACTCCCCTCACACGTCCGCTCATTATACACGTGTTGTTCCATTATCTAAGTCTGTAGCAAAACATACAATCCATATCCATACGGATACAAATGACAGGTGAAAAGGTAAAATATCCCTTGACTGGATTATGTTTTACTTACTTTCAATGCAAAAGACAGTACAAGCAATATTTCTGTCAGCTATGACCAAAGGGAAGGCTAGTTGAAATCTGTTGTGGAAACATGTCTCACCTTCCTCCTCCCAGGAAGAGCAGGCCCAGGGCCATGTGGTGGGCCATGTGGAAGCCATAGTTCATCTCTCCACTGGTCCTCTTGTGGAGGAAGCGGCAGAGCTGCAGCACCTTCAGGTTACCAGAGCCAGCCATCACCATGGACAGGGCCAGCAGCACCATGCTCAGACATGTCTGCAGGTTATAGTGGCCCGTCTGGCAGAGGAGACACACAGAGACACAGATTTACACATACGCAGAAAGTGTCAACGTAATAGAGAAAATTGGTTGTGGTGATTTGGATGCAAACTTTGAGCTTGACCGTATTCTATTGGCTTAAAATTGACATTATGGTTGGGTAGAAGTATGAAAGCAGTGCAACTTACAACCGTCGCTGTCGCTGATGTCAAACACTGCATGAAGCTCCTTGCAAACTTGTACTGTGAGAGAAACAGAAGGGTTACAGACGAACTAGCCAAATAACTAACTTATTTTGAAGTTTGCGCTTCTTACCAAGCAGTCGAATGCGTCAGAGTTGGCCGAGCCAGCGAAGCGAAATCCCACCGCCATGCATGCTCCAGCGATTATGTAGTCATGGGCTTGGCTGAGGACAGGAGTCATCACACACATCATTATGGGACTGTCTCATATCCAGCCATGCGGAGAGAGCTAAGGAAACTTGTAGTAAAGTTAGTTTGTACTCACGCCAAAGTTTCCATGTTCAAATCCTCCGAAACCACTGGGTTCCCAATATTCTCTTGGATTATCTGGATGAAAAACAAAGCAAACCGATCTTTGATTCTATAATCATCGCTTTCATTGTTTTGGGGATATTAACTAATTTGATCTTGTTGACGTATAAATGGGTCTAGATGCAGGAAATGTAATTGAGCCTTGTTGCCTCAGTCTTATCCTATTGGCAGTAAAGAGTCATTTGAGGATTGAAACTTGTTTCCTTATTAGCACTGATGTCATTAATTAACAAGTTCATCACACAGTATGACAAACTAACAACATTAAGTGTGTTGGATCGAAACCTCTAATGTCTATGGACTGACCCCAAGAACCTGAGGCCGAAATTATATTACCACTTGTCCTGAGTAGAGGTTTGTGCTGGCAGTGACTCGTGTCTAATGAGCTGAGGTGTTCATGCATGTGTGCATATTCAGGGCAGTTACCTGAGGCACATTGCTGCTCACCCACTCAGAGTTGGGTAGAATCTCATCCCACATGATGATACACCTGGCCAGTGTCTGAGGAGGGAGAGGAGACAGTGATAATGTGTGAGGGTACTGGATCAGACATTTTGAATTATATATATGTACATCATGTATGGGCCAAGTCACATCTACAGAGAGAGCTCAGGGGGTCTGGCATAGTGAATAAGGCAGGTCTGTAGTGGCCAGTACACGGTGGCTACAGTAGCTGAGATTCTCTGCACCGACTCACCCTGAGAAGCAGGAACTCTGGTTTGATGAAGTCCAGGAGGAACATGGTGTCAGGAGCTTTCAGCCAATCAGCGATAGACCTGTGAGGGGGTGAGAAAGAGGTGTTAATGGCAGCCTGAGCCAATTGTACAATAGGAGAACAGAACCAGTTGATACAAAATCACTTCTTCAGTTATAAGGTATGTGCTGCAGCGCTGGGGTCAAGATGTGCTGTGATGCACCGTGTAAGATTAGATTGAATCTCTCCGAGTCCATTACTTACAGGGAGCATGCTGAGTGGAGTCAAGTATAATAGAATAGGACATTGCGTCTCGTTAAAGGCTAATCTAATATGAGAATAGGAGTGGTGGTGGTGGAATCCATTCTCACCTGTTGTTGGTTTTCAGGTAGATCATGGCCAGGGCTAGGGTCGCTCCAGGACAGGTGACATCCACGTTGATGGTGTCACCCTCCTGTCATGAAGAACAGGGACATAAAAAAAAAAACCTAAAACCTGAGACAATAACCAGAAACCCTCACACTTGGGACATTAAAGTCTCTGGGCAGTGTATTCTGTCAGACCTTGGTTTCGTGACTTCAGGAAAAACGTTGATATGTTAGCTGGGGATCAACTGACGGACAGTAGGCCTACAAGTGAGGAAAGTTGTCTTGCTGGTCACTTTTTTCCCCCTTTACCTTGATCTGGTAGCTGGGGGATTTGTGTTTTTCTCTGTTGATGCCGGCGTGGGTGCGTCGATGCCCCCCCACCATGTACTGGTAGAGCTGCTCAGGGACATTCAGGTCAGACATACCGATCAGGTTACTGCCATGCTATGGAGAGAGAGAGGGGAGAGTGGGAGGGGTCACATTCAGTGACAGAAACTCTCCTCTTCAGTTTTCCCAATATGCATAAAGCATACATTTTGATGGTCTTTTAGATTCTCCACGTCCTGAGGGAGCGCTAGTGATGCACTGTTTAGTCACCCTTTTCATTCAGCACCCTTTTATGATTTCTCAGCCTTTTGAAGTATGAAGAGTGCTGTCCATGTAAGAACGTTTCCTTTTTCTATCACCTCTCTACATATACAGCAGTACAGTAAGTAACTTAATGCAGAGCTGATCAAGTAGTGTGAGTGCAGTGTGTACTACTAGACTTACCCCCAGACAGACCATGCCCAGGGACAGCCCAGCGGCCAGGGAGTAGGACTCTCGGTCTGTGCAGTACTCCATCTCAGGACCAGGGGGTCGACCTGCAGGAAGAAGCAACATCTGTTTACTTCAATATTTATTGCTGACGCGTTTTGGAGTAAGCTCCGTCATCAAAGCACCATATTTGAAAATACATTTTACTTCAATTACATTTGTAATTTTTTGCCAACGCATTTTGGAGAAAATTCAGCTTCGACAAAAAAGCTTGCTCCGAAACGTGTCAGTAATAAATATCATTGAAGAGAATAAGGCTGTCGTGCTGAACCTTCTTTAGAAATTTCAGTTGTACATTCTAAAGACTGACCACCCCTTCAGCGGTCCAGTCAATTTTTGAAATCTTGGTTCGGGCGCCTGCACGTATAATCTATTTAATATCCAGGCACAACATAGATGCTTCACAAATAATCTGTTTTAAGCATACAATAACTAAAGGGTCTATAAAGGGTGACATAACAGCTCCTTATGTAGGGTGCATTGCTAAATATGATATAACACACTATGTACATTTCCCAAAAAGAATGTGCTTTATAAAAGGCTGACATAACCCATGCTAATTAAGATGCTGATATGACATGTGAGATTCCACCTGACATCACTTGCCCCATCTAAACAGTGTGAAACTGTATTGATGTGATGCAACTGCCATACCTGGGGGAAACCTTATGTTCTGGCCTGGAGCAGGTCAGGGGTAACTGTCATGTGAGGCCTACAGTGTGTTGCTGTGCTAAGCCAATAACACATGCTCTGAGTAAACAGACCAGGTAAAATAAAGACGGTGAATAAATAAAGGACGAGGCTGCGGATCAGAGTTCTCAGAAACCCTGCTCCCAACAGCTAAAGGTCAGATGAGTCTGCGCATGAGCGAATCAATGTCTGCAAGATCATATAATGATCGTATTCTACATAACAGAACCGAATAGCATAGAAAGTTAATGCAAGACAGAAAACACCACCTCATTTCTTATGAGATTTTAGGATGATTGTAGAAATGGTGGAATTTCTCTCTCATGCGGCCAAAACTAAACAGCACCACTAGGGAAAAGATGTGCTTTGATTGAAACAAAACACAGGTATCCTACAATTTATTAATACCATCTGCGCAAAAATATGCTCAGTGTACATAATTCAAAACAACACTGTTGATAACTCAAGATTTAAATGCGTATCCCCATGAAATTAAATGGTTGGCATGCAGATGCTGTATGCGACCAGTTGCACAATCATCCTAAAATCTCATAAGAAATTAGGTTGTGCAATGCATCCTACATTGGGAGCTGTTATGTCACCCTTTACAGTATGACATAAGCTTATAAATGATATGTGAAGCATCTGTTGCACTTGTGAAGTCTATGTATTCTATTATAAAGCCTTTATAAGTTGTAGTTTGTTTTAAGTGGGACTAGCAGTTCCATGTCAAAACAGTTTCTGTATTGTATTTAGTGTTGTAGGTCCTCCTCCCTGCAAATATCCCTATGGGACAACAAAACATTTACTTCATTCAGGACGCATCTCTCACTGACCGATCTCGGCGAGCAGCACCTCTGCGTTATGGCGGTGTCCTGTGCCCTGGTAGACCAGGCCGATGCCCACCACGGCCGCCACCTGAACGTTGTGCGGTACATCCAGCTCAGTGGAGGTGGGTGGTAGCAGTGCTGGGATGTGGATGCTCAGCAGGCGGGTGATAGACATGTCCATGGTGCTCAGCTTGGCTGCAGACACACCCAGGAGCAGCCCGATGCTTGTCATCTCGTGGCCCTAAGGACACACCGGCAGCCATTCTCATTAGTCCCCCATGGACTTCATACACAGAGGGGTTCACTTGTTTAATAACACATATAGATTATGAGATGAATGAGTTATTGTGTAGGGCTGAATGGGGAGCGAGTATAAAACAACAAGGTTATAACAGATCAGAGATCTTTGCTCAACATATGCTGATTTTTTGCCTTCCTCTTTTTGGGGGAACCAAACTACACTGTAGTTCATCCTAAAAGCAGTTTTTTTCCTTCATCACACAATTATGCTACATAACAAAACTAATGACAACATTTGAAAGTACACATTTTGCGTAAATCACCTGATCCCATTCATACTTACATAATTCAATATTAATTGTCACCCATCAAAGACTGCTGTACTATATCCTTATTAACAGTCCAGCAGCAGACCTTTAAAAATGCACATGTTGTGCTCAAATGTAAGCTCATCTGTCCTGGCACAGTTGATAAGCTGGCAAGAATGAGAATAGTAGTAAACTCGTATACTGTAGTAAATAACCACTGATCTTTCCTGAGCTGAGAGATGTGATAGATATGACCACACAGCCTTCTATGTCAGGCCTAACTGGAAATGAGAAAGTTGCTATGTGTCACTGCCAGGGAAAAGTCAAAGCGAAACTCTGCTCTCAGCGCGCTGAGGCCTTCCCACTTTCATGTGAGAAAAATAACAGGATGCTGAGAGACAAGTTCTGCTAAAACCAACGTGCAATCTAGAGAATCTTAAAAACATGTAATGAGAAAAACTACACGACTTCACTCAACCCCAGAACCCCAGTGTGTGTATCTGTGTTTGCATGCATGCTCACCTTGGTTAAGTAGTCATGTATGTTGAGTGTGGCCAGCTTGGTGAGGTGTCCGTTGAGGCCCAGAGCCATGAGGAAGCCTGCGTACTCGTTGGCCAGCTCGGGGCTCTTGGGTTTGTTGTAGGCGATCCAGGCAGAGTCCACCTGGGAGGCCGGGGCAATCTTCAGGCCTGCAGCCACCCCGTTGTGAAAGCTGGACCAGCTCGTCATGTTGGGAGGAACGTCAATGTTCCCACTGTTCAGATCTACCATGGTGTTCTGAGGGGGCGCACGACCTGTCACCAGAAACAAAATACTCCATATCAGATTCTGACAAACTCTACACGCATGCATGCTCGACATTTAGACCACAATAACATTGGCACCAAAGACCAATGTAAACATGGCCTGCCGGGTTCTAAATACGTTTCTGCTTCTCATCACAGTGATCACACGTATTGCATTGTTTCCCTTGTCCTAAAACACAACACACTGAAGCACCAGCTGTAATTCCAGATGCAGACTGACTAATGTGAGGTCTGTGAGCTGCTAATAAAAACACGCCCAGAAATGGAACTTATATAGACAGACTGAGTAAAACCTTTTTACTCAGATCTCCAAAGATCTTCAAAGGAAAAACAACATACTCCTGTACTTGATGCTTTGTCATAACTAGTTCTGTAAACGTGTTTGAAGTAGGGCTGGGCGATACGGCCTAGAAATCATATCTACATTTTTGTCAAATTTATGGCCGATTCACGATTGTTTTATTTATTGTTTTCTCCAAATAAGGGTTGTTGTACAATTAAATGTCAAATACACTGCATTTCAAAAATTCAGGGCGTGTTAAATTAAGGCAAAAAATATAAGCCCCACTAACAATATAATTATTTAAGGATGATTGTACAAAATGGTCAAATAGTTTAACCTGCTTTTTTGCAATAATCCCTGATCTGGCTTTCATGAAAATGACATTTTTGTTACAAATGTTATGCCTAACTTCTTGTAGCTGGCATTACAGAAAATTAACACAGGTCTCATAAACAATCTCTCAGCACAAGCCCACGTGCTAGTGAGTAGCCAGCTCATCTTTCTATTTGCCAACTTGGATCTATTTACTAGCTAACAAGGCAGAACAGTTGAATTGTTTTGAACACACCCTTATGTGTCTGTCTCCACCTGTTAGAACAGCATGCTAGCCTGTCCACTTTGTTCAGATGTTGAAATCAGGTGGCCTACCTTATTCCTCAGAATGAGAACGAGTTGCCCGTTCCTTATAGAATTGTGTTTTATGCTTATTGCACATTTATAAAACATAGACTAGACAGCTAGCATAACAGTCTTTGGCTAAAATGCTGCTAGTGGTATGCGGTACCGCAATGCTGTGCGCGACAAACTGAGCATACATTTTCCAGAATCAATGTTAATTGATACTCCTGTTTTAGTAGTGTCTGCTCTGGGCGCAATTTGTGTAGTTGAGACATAAAAAAGGGTATAATTAGAAAGGTTAACTTATCTATTACAGTAAAATAATGTCTCCATGTGTTTCGGTGTCCATATGACCGATTCTGTTGGACCAAACCTCAAATGCAAATAGCTAGTCAGAGAGGAAGAAGTGATCTCTCAACTTTGTTGGTGTGAGTGGCAGGGGCTTGGTGTGTGTGTGTGTGTGTGTAAACAGAGAGGAAGAGGCAAAACGAGAGGTTTCACTCTCGCCAAAATCTGTCCAAAATAAGCCCAATGCGTTACTATGGGCTTATTTTGGACCTAAGCTTGTCGCCTGCCTTCCCGGCTTTGGGACAACGACTCCCATTGTTAGGGCAGAGACATGAGCATCTTGTCATTATATTCAGATCTCTGGTGTCAATGGGAAGGTGCACAGCACAGAAGAAGCAAACGAGACGAGACCAAAAAGACAACATGAGAACAAGAGGACATAAATGCTCATAAAAACAGAAAATACAAAAAAACTTGATTATGCGATACAGGCATTTGGAATATCACCCAAAAACATACATTCAAATTAATTTCATTTATCGCCCAACCCTAGTTTGAAGACACAGACACGTTCTCTCAGACTGACACGCACACTGGTATGAGAAAGCCCTGAGGGATACAGTACCAGTAAGGTTGAGTTTGGGCACCGGTAGGGGCTCTGTTGGCACAGGGTGGTAGGAGAAGAGGGTGAACAGGCCTCTTCCCACTGGCAGAGCCATGGTACGCTGGCAAAGCTGCAACAGTCTGCCCAGAGAGAAAGCAGAGAGAGAGATGGAGGGAGAGGCATCAGAACAATAGTCAACACAACTACAGGCCAACTGCTAACTACAGAGCACACCAAAAAAAAAAAAAAAGTCAAAAGCATGCTTGAAACTAAGCAGATTATGGATATAGCCTATAACCTGGGCCCAGACTGCTTTTGAATGAGACCATCTATGATAGCTGCCATCACTTGAAAGATATTACTCACTTGTTCTCCTTCTCCTCTATGTACTCGTGGTCGCTGACCTCGGGCAGGTGGACCACGCTGACCCTGACTGGTCTGGAGCTCTGGAGTAGACGTCTGGCCTCATGGACGCGCAGGTCCTGGCTCCAGATAAGACCAATTACGTCCTGGTTCAGATCCGTCATACCATCCTCCTCCTCCTCTGCCTCTGTGGTGGCTGGAGCCTCCAGCATTAGCCCCAGACCCACCGTCTGAGTACATACACACACAGAAATAAACACACGAAACCGAAACATTAACTCCAAATCCACAAGGTTGTAAAGGATGAAACCCAAACCATCCAATAACCCCAGAAACTCACACCTACAGCTTTGCCTTTGGCCACGGTCACTTTGTGTGCTTGCTTGGTAAGGTCCTGTCGCCCAATCAATAGGCAGACGTCCTCTGACCAGTCAGAGCAGGGTTGCTCTCGACACTGGTAGATAGCATCTCTGATGGGCAGAGCCACACCAAAGGGCACAGATTCCAGGTCTTTCAATGTGAAACCTAAACACAACACATGAATGTAAAAGAGTCTCACACCAGCAAAGACTCCATAGCATTGCAATAACATTAGACAGGCTGTGGAGATGTTTCTAGTCCTGATGTAAAGTCTTACCTGCTGATGTTAGCCAAACCACAAGCTTTTCAGCCAAACTTTCATTTGGAGCATCAGGCTTCATACTGCTCGGTCTGGAAGAGGAACAGGGATTACAAATCTCAGTTGGAAAATCATGGTTAAAAGCTTAGGACAAGTCTATAGTTTATAGCTGCTACTATTACTAGAGGTATAGTCCCATGTGGCTCAGTTGGTAGAGCATGGCGTTTGCAATGCCAGGGTTGTGGGTTCGTTTCCCACGGGGGACCAGTATGGAGAAAAAAAAATATGTATGCACTCACTAACTAAGTCGCTCTGGATAAGGGCGTCTGCTAAATTACTAAAATGTAAAAATGTATATTTTACATTTACGTCATTTAGCAGACGCTCTTATCCAGAGCGACTTACAAATTGGTGCATTCACCTTATGATAGCCAGTGGGACAACCACTTTACAATATATAAAATATATATTACATACATATATATTTTTTTATTTTAATTTTTTATTTTTTTTGTCTGATATTCCATGGCTTTCAGCAAATCAGCATCCAGGACACAAACTACCCAGTTAATAAAACGGAGTGAACCCTTCTTGTGGCTTTATGAGGAAACACTTTATGGGGAATCAAGAGTCTATAAGAATGAAGAGATTCAGGCTAAATGTGTTAATGGTACGTTTTTACCTCCTCAAAGCTGATTCAATGACAGTCTTCTTCTGGCCTGTCAGAGAGGAGAGACGGCACACGAGGGCTGTAGTTCAATTGTCACAGTAAAGGAAAACAGGAGAAAACAGGAGAATGCCAAAAGAACTCAAGAGGCCTTTCAGCCTCACAATCATCACCATAATGCCCATACTTGAGTCCAAAATATCATTTTGATAATCATGGTTGCAAATAATGAAGCTTTACATTTACAACTTTACAGCTCTGCTTCAAAGGACATTTCTTTGGAGACTTCATTAAAAGGGCAATCTGCAGTTGCTACATCCATTCTCGGACTTACAAATTAAATTAAATGTACCCATTGATTCTTGAAGAATATAACTTATAAATGCCTCATGAGCTTAGCTCAACTGTTGTAGCCAAAAATATCAGCTTGTTTTACTCTGTTTGTTAACATTTACTTTGTTTACAAACACTATATAGTCTCAAAACATGGTTAAAACTATAAATGGTAATATCATGGATGGTCAGTCCTTGCATACATAGCTCCGTCGACGAATTTGAGAGTGGTTACATTTCTCCAGCCCCACCCTTTAGCTTTTTACCGAAATGGGGGCAGGGAGAGCACTTTGCTACTGCTGATTGCCTCTTTAAGGGTAAAAGTAACAATGGCCAAATGAAGACTTGACTTAAAGGGATACGGCGAGATTCTGGCATTTGTTTTACTTACCCAGATGAACTTGTGGATACCATTTGTATGTCTGCGTGCAGTATGAAGGAACTAAGTGGTAGTTTTGCGAGCCAATGCTAACTAGCGTTAGCGCAATGACTGGAAGTCTATAGGTACAGCATTCATCTAACTCTGGGTAAGAAGAACAAGGCCTTAAATGCCAGAATCTCGCAGTATCCCTTTAAACATAAAGAAACAGGATGGAGACAACATTGCACTACCGCCTTACAACCTCTTCCCTCTCTTGCGCACACTGACTGACTGCTGTGACATGCATGTGGGAAGCATGTGGGCATGTGGGAAGCATGTCACAGGGATGGTTGTTTGTCATCTTGGGGGCACACTGTTCAGTAAATCAGACACACACATATCCACACACAAACACTGAAACCCACCTGCAGAGAGCTTGGCCAGATACTTCGAAACATCAACTGAAGTGGCGTTGTCATCTCCAATTATGTACAGGGCGTAGCTCTGAGAGGGGGAGGAAGAGAAAGAGAGGCAGAGAAGGACAGATAAACAAACGTCAGCATCTGGCCTGTTGAGAGAGACAGAGTGAGAGAGATGCTGAGTGAGCAAGAGAAAGGGGGAGTGAGAGACAGTCAGAGAGAGAGAGACGGAGAGACAGACAGACAGAGAGAGAGACAGTGATGTGGGTAAAGAGATTCTGTAATTGCATGACAGGCTGTCAGTCTCTCAGCGGTGACGTGCGTCACCTCACTTAGCCTGATGGGAGGAGACGCACAAGGCCTGGTCATCAGCACAGCCCCCCTGACCCCCCTTCACCCCACCCGCTTGTGATTCAGCCCTCCATCCGACCAGGGATTAATTATGGTAGAGTACACAGACACAAAACACACACACTCGTTGTCTCAAACACATTACTCACACACACATACAGTACTAGTCAAAAGTTTGGACACACCTACTCATTCAAGGGTTTTTCTTTATTTTTATTGTAGAATAATAGTGAAGACATCAAAACTATGAAATAACACGTATGGAATCATGTATTAACCAAAAAAGTGTTAAATAAATCAAAATATATGTTATATTTGAGATTCTTCAAAGTAGCCACCCTTTGCCTTGATGACAGCTTTGCACACTCTTGGCATTCTCTCAACCAGCTTCATGAGGTTGTCACCTGGAATGCTTTTCCAACAGTCTTGCAGGAGTTCCCACATATGCTGAGCACTTGTTGGCTGCTTTTCCTTCACTCAACGGTCCAACTCATCCCAAACCATCTCAATTGGGTTGAGGTCGGGGGATTGTGGAGGCCAGGTCATCTGATGCAGCACTCCATTCCCCTTCTTGGTCAAATAGCCCTTATACAGCCTGGAGGTGTATTGGGTCATTGTCCTGTTGAAAATCAAATGATAGTCCCACTAAGCACAAACCAGACGGGATGGCGTATCACTGCAGAATACTGTGGTAGCCATGCTGGTTAAGTGTGCCTTGAATTCTAAATAAATCACAGACAGTGTCACCAGCAAAGCACACCCACACCATAACACCACCTCCTCCATGTTTCACGGTGGGAACCACACATGCAGAGATCATCCGTTCACCTACTCTGCGTCTCAAAGACATGGCGGTTGGAACCAAAAATCTCAATTTTGGACTCCAGACCAAAGGACAGATTTCCACCGGTCTAAATGTCCATTGCTCGTGTTTCTTCTTCTTATTGGTGTCCTTTGGTAGTAGTTTCTTTGCAGCAATTCGGCCATGAAGGCCTGATTCACGCAGTCTCAAACAGTTGATGTTGAGATGGGTCTGTTACTTGAATTCTGTGAAGCATTTATTTGGGCTTCAATCTGAGGTGCAGTTAATTGACGATTTCTGAGGCTGGTAACTAACGAACTTATCCTCTGCAGCAGAGGTAACTCTGGGTCTTCCATTCCTGTGGCGTTCCTCGTGAAAGCCAGTTTCAACATAGCGGTTGATGGTTTTTGCGACTGCACTTGAAGAAACTTTCAAAGTTCTTGAAATCTTCCAGATTGACTGACCTTCATGTCTTAAAGTAATGATGGACTGTCATTTCTCTTTGCTTATTTGAGCTGTTCTTGCCATAATATGGACTTGGTCTTTTACCAAATAGGGCTATCTTCTGTACCCCTACCTTGTCACAACACAACTGATTGGCTCAAACACATTAAGAAGGAAAGAAATTCCCCAAATTAACAAGGCACACCTGTTAATTGAAATGCATTCCAGGTGACTACCTCATGAAGCTGGTTGAGAGAATGCCAAGATCGTGCAAAGCTGTCATCAAGGCAAAGGGTTGCTATTTGAAGAATCTCAAATATAACATTTTGATTTGTTTAACACTTTTTTGGTTACTACATCATTCCATTTGTGTTATTTCATAGTTGTGTTGTCTTCACTATTATTCTACAATGTAGAAAATAGTAAAAATAAAGAAAAACCCTTGAATGAGTTGGTGTCCAAACTTTTGACTGGTACTGTACATCCCTAGTAAAAACGCATACAAGTATATCAGTCGGTTGGTGGGAGCCCAAACCGATCCAAATTAAGCATGCATCGGTCAGAAAACCGATCCAAATGACGCATGCGTCGGTCAGAAAACCGATCCAAATGACGCATGCCAACAGGTCAGAAAACCGATCCAAACTTTAGGAATAGTTGGTTCGCTGATGTTTTTTACTCATGTTTTATGCCGAAAATACCTCATCTGTTGTGACTTTTGCAACTGCATATGACTGTCAGATAACTACTGTGCACAGTGCGGGAGACGGCTGCTCGCAAGGTACAGTGCCGTCAGAAAGTATTAACACCCCTTGACTTTTTCTACATTTTGTTGTGTTAATTGAATTTTAAGTAAATTAAATCCAGATTTTTTGTGAAGTTATTAATTACACTTTGGATGGTGTATCAATATACACAGTCACTACAAAGATACAGGCGTCCTTCCTAACTCAGTTGCCGGAGAGGAAGGAAACAGCTCAGGGATTTCACCATGAGGCCAATAGTGACTTTAGAACAGTTAGAGTTTAATGGCTGTGATAGGAGAAAACAAAATTGTAGTTACTCCACAATACTAACCTAATTGACAGAGTGAAAAGAAGGAAGCCTGTACATAAAAATATTCAAAACATGCATCCTGTTTGCAACAAGGCACTAAAATAATACTGCAAAAAATGTGGCAAAGCAATTAACTTTCTGTCCTGAACAAAAAGTGTTATGTTAGGGGCAAATCCAATACAACACATTATGTAGTACCATTTCCCATATTTTCAAGCATAGTGATGGCTGCATCATATTATGGGTAAGCTTGTAATCGTTAAGTACTGGGGAGTTTTCAGGATAAAAAAAGAAACTGAATGGAGCTAAGCACAGCAAAATCCTAGAGGAAAACCTGGTTCAGTCTGCTTTCCACCAGACACTGGGAGATTAATTCACCTTTCAGCAGGACAATAACCTAAAACACAAGGCCAAATCTACACTGGAGTTGCTTACCAAAAAGACAGTGAATATTCCTGAGTGGCCAAGTTACAGTTTTGACTTAAAATGGCCTTGAAAATCTATGGCAAGACCTGAAAATGGTTGTCTAGCAATGATCAACAACCAATTTGACAGAGCATGAAGATTTTTGAAAAGAATAAAATGGGCAAATGTTGCACAATCCAGGTGTGGAAAGCTCTTAGAGACTTACCCAGAAAGACTCACAGCTGTAATCGCTGCCAAAAGGTGGGTCTACAAAGTATTGATATCTGTATTTCATTAACAATAAATGTGAAAAATTTTCAAAAAACATGTTTTCACTTCGTCATTATGAGGTATTGTGTGCAGTGGTCTAAGGCACTGCATCTCAGTGCTTGAGACGTCACTACAGACCCCCTGGTTCGATTCCAGGCTGTATCACAACCGGCCGTGATATCACAACCGGCCGTGATTGGGAGTCCCATAGGGCGGCGCACAATTGGCCCAGCGTCGTCCGGGTTTGGCCGGTGTAGGCCGTCATTGTAAATAATAATTTGTTCTTAACTGACTTGCCTAGTTAAATAAAGGTAAAATAAAATAAATAAATAAAAGATGGATGAAAAATAATATTTAATAAATGTTGAATTCATGCTGTAACAACAAAATGTGGAATAAGTCAAGCGGTATGAAGACTTTCTGAAGGCACTGTAGACCTATCCCTGCTCTAATAGGCTATTCGTACATCTGCACGGCGCCTTCAGCATTCAGATGCTTGTATAATATACTTTGAGTGAAAACCAATGTACACTAAACAAAAATATAAATGCAACAATTGCATAAGGAAATCAGTCAATATAAATAAATAAATTAGGCCCTAATCTATGGATTTCACATGAATGGGAATACAGATATGCATCGGTTGGTCACAGATACCTTAAATGCTAGGGGCGTGGATCAGAAAACCAGTCAGTATCTGGTGTGACCACCATTTGCCTCATGCAGCGCGACATCTCCATCTTGATCAGGCTGTTGATTGTGGCCTGTGGAATGCTGTCCCACTCCTCTTCAATGGCTGTGCGAAGTTGAAGTTGCTGTATATTGGTGGGAACTGGAACACGCTGTCGTACACATCGATCCAGAGCATCCCAAACATGTTCAACGGGTGATATGTCTGGTGAGTATGCAGGCCATGGAAGAACTGGGACATTTCAACTTCCAGGAATTGTTTACAGATCCTTGCGACATGGGGCTGTGCATTATCATGCTTAAACATGAGGTGATGGCGGCAGATGAATGGCACGACAATGGCCTCAGGATCTTGTCACTGTATCGCTGTGCATTCACATTGCCATCGATAAAATGCAATTGTGTTCGTTGTCCGTAGCTTATGGCTGCCAATACCATAACCCCACTGCCAGCATTGGGCACTCTATTCACAATGTTGACATCAGCAAACCGCTCGCCCATACAACACCATACACACTGTCTGCCATCTGCTCAGTACAGTTGAAACCCGAGATTCATCCGTGAAGAGCACACTTCTCCAGCGTACCAGTGGCCACTGAAGGTGAGCATTTGCCCAGTGAAGTCGGTTATGATGCCGAACTGCAGTCAGGTCAAGACCCTGGCGAGGATTACAAGCACGCAGATGAGCTTCCCTGAGGCGGTTTCTGACAGTTTGTGCAGAAATTCTTCGGTTGTGCAAACCCACAATTTCATCAGCTATCGGAGTGGCTTGTTTCAGACGATCCCGCAGGTGAAGAAGCCTATGTGAAGGTCCTGGGCTGGCGTGGTTACACATGGTCTGCGGTTGTGAGGCCGGTTGGACGTACTGCCAAATTCTCTAAAATGACATTGGTAGAGAAATGAACATTCAATTCTCTGGCAACAGCTCTGGTGGACATTTCTGCAGTCAGCATGCCAATTTGCACGCTCCATCAAAACTTGAGACATCTGTGGCATTGTGTTGTTTGACAAAACTGCACATTTTAGAGTGGCCTTTTATTGTCCCCAGCACAAGGTGCACCTGTGTAATGATAATGCGGTTTAATCAGCTTCTTGATCTGCCACACCTGTCAGGTGGATGGATTATCTTGGCAAAGGAGAAATGCTCACTAACAGGGATGTAAACAAATTTGTGCACAAAATTTGAGAGAATTAAGTTTGTGTGTATGGAACATTTATGGGATCTTTTATTTCAGCTCATGAAACATTGGACCAACACTTTACATGTTGCGTTTATATTTTTGTTCAGTGTAATTTGCTGGGTCATTGTTACCAAATGCACTGTAGAAAATTGGGTTTTACAGGAGTTGTGGAACCTACCGGATTGGACACAACTCACATCTAACTGCTGATTGGGGTTTTCAATCATTCAGATTTAATTTAGATTGTTCAGGTTCACAATAAGAAATAGTTTTGGTAGTTTACTTTAAACAGTCAGTGTATTTGGTCATTTTTACATGAACAGGGTAATTTCATAAAGGACAGCAATAGTTTTTGTGAGCTGCGCATGGTTGCATTCATTGGTCAGAGTGGGAGAAGCTCTCTGTAAAATTCCAATCAGTCTAAACAATTCACTTTTGGGACGGGGGTCAAATCCAAAGCAGCATTCTATTAATTGTCTAAATGCCATTGCTAATTTCTAAAGATAAATATTGACAGTACTATGTCAAAACATTTTTGATCTGGAAAAACTACAAGTTAATCCGTGGGTGATGGTGATTTCTGATAAAAAAGTGGGGGCCCCATAAATTGCCCCCACCCCTAATCTGATAGTCGGGTGGTAGATTCCCAATCTGCCCTATGGCTCAGCTAAGGTGCCTACACACACACACAAACAGAGGGCCACTCAGCTAAAAAAGTCATCTCAGACAGATCCAGCTCAGAGAGGCTCCATCAGGAGCAGATATTAATTTAAAATGGAAAATGCACGTGTTCATGTAAAAAAATGTATTGTCCGAATTCACATCAATTCATTCCCCTAATCAAACCGAATCGTTTCAAATTAAACGTATCGTTCCTGTATCGTATCTGAGACCATGTATGTAGATCCGTATCGAATCGTTCATGAAAGGAGAGATGCACATCCCTAGTTTTTACGCATAGGCAAAATGCCTTTCTCTCTCCCCCTCTCTCTGATTGGCATGAAGTCCTATGTCATAGCCCTTTGACATTTAAGCAGAGTGTGTGTGTGCGTGTCAGTGTTTGATGACTCCTTTTAACTGGGAAATCATGTTTGAACATAAACTGCCATTGGCTACACAGGGGCTAGGGACCGCAAACCAACCCAGGGAGAAGAAGGTTTATTTAGAATACGATTGGCTGTGTTGACATTGGTCACTCAAAATATTCAGAAACGATTTGTTGTCCAAACAGTATTTATGTAACATGTCAGTCAGGTGGTGAGGTCATCTAGCTGTGCACACATGCTGTAGCTAACCAAGCCAAAGGTGATGGGAAATCTACTTTCCTCACACCACACCAAGGACAATGTAAATGGTAATTCCCTAGTAGGGTTTTCAGTTGTCTGTGGCACCCCCTATTGGAGATGTCTATATCGCAACCCAACTAAAACTGCCACCTGCATGGCTATCATCTCTTGATAAAAAAGTGTATTGTATACATTTCCAGAGCGATATATGGTTCCGTAAATTTCCCTTGTCATCATGAGGCAAAGATAGAAACATGATGATAGCATACCAGCACCAGTAGTTTGGTCCTCTCACAGATGCCGGGCAGGTAGGGGAAGGGTGCTACCTCCTCTCCCCTCAGACAGCTGCTGAGCCAGCTGAACACACACGGAGGCTCCGCCCTCAGGAAGGACGGACGCAGCATCTGCTCCATCTGGGCTGCAGGAGAGGGAGGGGCCACGGAGACTGTCAATCAAACTGTCACAACAGGCTCTGCGACTACAGACACACCTGTCCTTATCACTCAGTCAGACCATCATTTCAATCAATATGAGCAATCAGTTTTTTTCTCCATCAGGAAAAGCCAAAGTGGTAGACATGCCCTCTCTTCTACGTGAGCAGAGGGGACTACACACGCTGTAGAGAGGTTGATTTGCCTCTTACCCTGATCGATGATGCAGGACTCCTTGAACGTGGTGATGAATGAGGGGTAATCTCGCCAGTACAGATCAATATACTCCTCCAGCTGCAGATCCCTATTAATAAACAGTACAACAATTAGCAGCAGGTCATAAGAGGGGCTGTTAATCTAACCAGAGCCATTTAATCAATACTTTCAATACCCCAACCTGCTCTACTCTCACCATGAAGAAGATAAACTAAATCAGAACTATGATTAAGCTAACACCCACTTAAACTTCTGCTACTAATGTGGGGGTTTCAGGCTGGGTTAGCTGTAGTGAGGTCATTGTGGTACAGGCCTAGCCGGGTTGCCAGATTGGTTTGTGCTTTATTTTAGCTACTGTATCTCTTTGTACAGTATGTACGCCAAAGACAATAAACAATTATTAATTGGCTGAAGCACCAACTGTTGTGTCGACCAGCCTGGAAATCCTAAATGACCAGGACACTAAAACAAGGCCCAAATAAGCACTAAGCAATTCAAGTGCCAGTTGATTCTACCACTTCAGCTCTTCTTTTAATGTAAAATGGGACTGTGGACGAGGCCACTTGACACACTTGAAACCGTTTTAATGCCATTTTCTTATCCTGGTAATATAAACGTTTTAGGAGAGACCATATTCATCAGGTTTTATTGAGCAGTGATTCATCGGGCATACTTTTGAATTTAAATGTTTAACAGCTTCATGAAATAGTGTTCGTTCTGAATGAATAGCTGAATTGAAAAGATTCACCTGCGACCTGTCGCTTTAGTTTGTCTCTGAAAGGCCATTGCTATAATAATAAATCCACAACATTTAACTGGAGTCATTTGAGAGTAAATCTCTCGTGGACAGGATGGTATCCAGGCGTCTGTCAACAGACTGGAATTTCTTCACTTGGACTAATCATGATTTCGCATCTTTCGAATTTCAGAGGGAGAGGGGACATTTGGCACATGCTTTGGCTGAGAGTTTGAGAGTTCACTGGTCTCATTAGTATCCTTTATTTTCTCATCTCCCCCAGAACATAATCAAGCATCTGACGCAATTATGCAATATTTTATTTCTGGGTTTCCAGAATTATTTGAGCGTTAACATAGATTGTGAAGACGGAGCAACAGTACCTGGCCAGCTGTTGCAGGAGGCCCACCAGTGATCGCCCCCCGCTCCTCTGCAGCTCGTCCAGCTTCAGCTCCTCATAGAGCAAGTGCAGCACGTAGAACAGGGCTGGGATGTGGGGGAAGAGTGGGGCAGAGGGGTCCAGATGCAGTGCAGGGGTGGAAGACAGAGACTCTTCACAACCAGATGTGTCTGTGGACTCCAGACTCACAGCACCACACACATGCCTGAACACCACCTGTCTGTGGTAGTCTGAGCACCGCATGTAGTCCCAGTCCTGGTGGATTATATGCAGACACACACACACACACAAAGCCACACAGAAACACACACACTTAAATTCAATGCATACACAGAAACAGGCCCCAAAGCCACACATACAAAAAGGTCAGAAGGTTAAGGAACAACATTGATGCCTAGTCTGAATCAGCAGTTTCCCAACGACCTCTACATGCACTTCCTTTCTTAAGTAACAACTCTCAGCCAGAGGGTGAACTCTACACAACAACTCCCCAGTTCAACTGTGCACTCCCAACCCTGGGCCATGACCCCTGCCAGGATTCCATGCTACAGTACAGCGCCACTACTTCAGCCCATGTTTTTTTTTTAACACCACTCACATTCCACATAATAACACACAGGGCAAATGGATGAAGGAAAGAAGCACTACAGGTTATTTATCAACCTTACCCTCATCTTCAATACATCTATAAATAACATACTGCACTTGGAACAGAATTTCTAATCCAAGATTACGTAACTTGGGTTTCAACCATTTCATAGTAGTGAACTGTATATGAACTAAACATATTCCTGAAATTCCTATTATGCATGACAGAAAAGCGAATTCACTCATAAGTTGACCTCATCGCTACCTCAGAGCTTGAGAGTAACAGGAATTGTCTTATGCTTTCCACTTAAAGCATGGCCTACGGGGGTAACCCCTACCTACCTCATCAGACCCTGTGTCCGAAGGCCGGGCCTTCTTTGGTGCAATCACAGGAGAGAGGGGCACTTCAAAATGGAGCTGTGGGGGAAACACAAAGGTCAAGAGCATGGTAGGGCTACAGACCAATTAACCATCTGATAAACAACATAGGTCTTTCCTGTGTTCCCTTGCCAACCTACATCTGTGGCTTAGGCTCTATGTATGGATTTCAGAGATGTGCAGGGTTAGGTGACATTGGTGTGACCTAGCTTGAGGCACTTCTACGTACTTGGATATACACTGTGTAGTCAGTAAGACTATCCTCCTAATGAGCTCTGCACTACGTCTACTTTGTGTCACTCCCTCTCCTGTGAATGACAGCACCGTTGCCAGGGCGACTCACATTGCGTGTCCAGCCCAGCCGCTCGGTGTTGTAGCCCATGAGAGTCATGAAGCAGGTGACAAACAGGTTCCACTCCAGGTGTGCACTGGGCCCCCCGGGGGCGTTGTAGATGTTGTACCACTTTATCAGCACCTTCATGGCTGTCTCCTTGGGCAGGATGAAGCGCACCGCCTGGAGGCACTTCCTCACTACGGACACGAGTGGGATGAGGAAGCATTTGTCAGACAATGCACAATGACAATAGGTTCACTTCACACAGCAAATTTGACATTAGTATGTATCAAACTTGTGCTGATTTGTATAACTGTAATTTATTTATTTTTAAAGTGGAGTGGTTAAAATAATAAATCTATACTGAACAAAAATATAAACGCAACATGTAAAGTGTTGGTCCCATGTTTCATGAGCTGAAATAAAAGATCCCAGAAATGTTCCATATGCACAAAAGGCTTATTTCTCTCAAATTGTGTGCACAAATTTGTTTAAATTCCTGTTAGTGAGCATTTCTCTTTAGCCAAGAAAATCCAGCCACCTGACACGTGTGGCATATCAAGAAGCGGATTAAACAGCCTCCACTAGGGATGTGCTAGGGATAATATACCCCTTTACAGTTCACAACACACTGACGTCACGGACAGATGCGTGCGGCAGTAAGAAAGCCATCGCCATCTGCGCCCATTCAACATAGCTTAGATTTAAGTTTTTATTACTTCTAAAGAAAATAAAAAATGTGGGTTCTCATACGCTTACAATTATGTTTAGATTCTTGCTTGAACAGTCGCTAAGATTATATTTGGCTGTGATCTTTGCAAAATAACTATTTAGGATGCAGCAGTTGTTAGCTAGAATGCTAACGCTCATTGATATAGGCTGTAGCAAAAGCCAGCCTCAGAACCATTGTACTGGTTGAAGTTGAAATGTTTTTTAAGTATAATGCATTTGATTTGCGATGACAAACATTATATTAGGCAGGACATTCATACAAGCCTTAAAATCCTATTATAATCCAAAAGTAGTGTGAAATGCACTTATAGGCTTTTTTGTTGTTGCTGGCATTCTCTAAGAAATCCCACGTGTTATGCCACCAACTTGTACGCATCTCCCATGTGCAGCAATGTTTGCAAACACAGAAAGGGGTCTATAAAAGGCCACACTAAAATGTGCAGTTTTGTCACATAACACAATGCCACAGATGTCTCAAGTTTTGAGGGAGTGTGCAATTGGCATGCTGTATGCAGGAATATCCACCAGAGCTGTTGCCAGACAATTTAATGTTCATTTCTCTACCATAGGCTGCCTCCTCCAACATCGTTTTTGAAAGTTTGGCAGCACGTCCAACCGGCCTCACAACCGCAGACCATGTGTATGGCGTCATGTGGGCGAGGCCCATTGTCATGCCATTCATCCGCCACCATCACCTCATGTTTCAGCCCATGTCACAAGGATCTGTACACAATTCCTGGAAGCTGAAAATGTCCCAGTTCTTCCAAGGCCTGCACACTCACCAGAAATGTCAACCATTAAGCATATTTAGGATGCTCTGAATCGACATGTATTACAGCTTGATCCAGTTCACGCGAATATCCAACAACTTCGCAAAGCCATTGAAGAGGAGTGGGACAACGTTCCACAATCAACAGCCTGATCAACGCTACGCGAAGCAGATGTGTAGCGCTGCATGAGGCAAATGGTGGTCACACCAGATACTGACTGGTTTTCTGATCCACGCCCCTAACTTTTTAAGGTATCTGTGACAGATGCATATCTGTATTCCCAGTCATGTGAAATCCATAGATTAGGGCCTAATGAATTTATTTTCATTGACTGATTTGAACTTGTCGCATGTTGTCTTTATATTTTTGTTCAGTATATATTCATTGTGCCTAATCAAGTTCCATTGACATCAAACTACACGAAAGTCTGATTAGCATCCGTGCCATCTCCCATGTCCACCCAATCTGACAGGTAATTAACTCCACCGCAATCTCTAATTGGACAACAAACTCCAAAGGTCAAGGCAGAGCAGGAGAAATGCCATTTCATTAGACTGAGAAGTCCTGCCTTTTGAATCAATTAGGCACTAATATGTGGGAACTGGGAACAACACTATGCGGTAATTGGTAGTGGTTTCACAAAACAAAAGATGGGGGATCAAAAGACTAGAATCATGGTATAAACGAAGGCAGAGACCTTAAAAACGCACAAAAAGCCAATTAGGGTTGTAAGGTAAATACTGGCACACCCGAGTGCTCCATTTCCTTAATTACGGTGTAAAATGATACGCTATTACAGTTATCTACAGCTGGGTAGAAAGATGAGCCACAGCATGTTTTACAGTACATGCATGTACTGGTGGATAAGGCTGCATCAGCAGAGGCTCAAATATCACCACCGGAAAGATGTGTGAATCGTGCATGATTTCAGTATAGGTCCCATACATAAAGTCATTTACAAAAAAAAAGTACCCATCTTTAGATATACTAAATGGGTGACGAAAGGGTGTATTGAAAGCCATTTCTATATTAGATAGAGTAAAGACAGTCACAGACGCAGACTCTTCACGCACAAACGCAAGGAACCATGGTTAATATACCCACTTTTACTGACAGTTACAGAAATTGTCTTATGTTTTACTAATAATCTACCTGAACACAGACTCACATTATATCCCAGCACTACGGAGCATGTCATTGGGCAGGATAGAAACGGAGCAGAATCAGCTCTCCCTCTCGTCTATTGCCCCATCCCTCCTTTCCACCCTCATCAACATCATGTTCCAGAGCATCCCCTGTCCCCCCCAACTGAGCTGGATAATCGACACTCAAGGGCCCAATTGAATCTTGGGCTGAATAAAGGCATGGAAATCCCACCATAACAAACAGCACCTACAACTGCCTGGCGTGGAGTAGCTGCTGTGGTGACGCCATCGTAATGCTGTGGCTTACCCAGATAGAGCGGAGTGTATATAGACACTGTGTGTGTGTGTGTGTGTGTGTGTGTCATGTGGAATGCCAGGAGATATGAGAGTGGGTGGGGTGGGGGATGTCAAGTGTGTGTAGGGGAATGGTGAGTGTGTAAGTACGAGCGAGGAACGGTGGGGTGGGGTCCCCTTAGGTTTACGTCAATGTGACAGCGGGAGGCTGGCAGCACTTCAACCCAATGTTCAGGCCATCAATGCTGGATGACTCAGCTGTGACACCTAAGCCAATGCACAATCTTGTCACGCACATTGGTTTTGCACATTGTCGTGTTAACCTTACCCAGCTCTGAGGTAGCAATTTCAGGGATCGTTATCCTCAGCATTGTGCCATTGCTTAGCTCCTACAAAAACAAACAGAGGGATAGAGATAATTTCACAATAAGTTAGAGATGTCTACATGCTACCTTTCAGTCAACTCTTGAACGCTTTTATCAATTAAATAATTTGACATAGATGAAGACATCAGGGGATAAAACAATCAATATGACATGTCATAACATATGCAGTTGGACATTTACAAGTCTCTGAAAATATATATATATATATATATCTCAGTCAAGAGTGGCTCTCTCAAAAGGGCTTGAAAATGACTGACAGGTCTGAGAGAAAAAGTCCCTTGGCTGAACGACATGTCTTTACCGGTCTTAACAAAACTGCCCCTGCAGGTAGCGATGTCCACCCAGAGAACTGTAACCTTATTGGACCCAGTAAACATACTGACAGGCCTCTGGTGCTCAGTTCTGTACACAGGCAGAGCTTTTCTCCATTCCAATTAAATCAAATTAAGCTGTTCAATTAGTGTCCATTTAAGAAACATTCACCCCTGGAGGTCTAAGTACTCACGTGCCAACCAGCCAGACACATACACACTGACTCAGACTCATTATACCCTCCACCTTTCACTCATATCAATACACACACCCACCCACACACAGACCCCCCCCCCCCCCCACACACACACACACCAGGGTGACTCTGCTGCTGACGGGGTCTCTGAGGCCGTGGATGTAGGGTACAGACTGTTGAAAGGTGTAGTCGCCCAGCCAGGAGGTCTCGTGGTGCTTGGTTGAGCCCCTCAGCTCTGATACAGGGGATGGCATGGCCACCTGGCCAACAGGAAGGGAGGGGAGGAGGTACAAGGAACAACTCAGCTTCCCAGGATGTATAGACACAATCAAGATGATTAGTTGCAAGTTGGGGGAACTAATCCATACATTTCAGCTCTACATTCTACAGCAATTCTGTAATGAATGCAACATATATTAAATTGATTAATCTACTGTTAGTTTCTCCCTTTGTTTTTAAGGATATAGATTGGTACAGACACGTCACACAGTCTGAAGTTTAAATCTAATTAGAGTATTGATCAGGTTCCATAATATAGTCTCCATTAGTCACTGGCTGTTCTACTGCAGACTAATACTGCAGCTTCACTCTACTGTAAATGGAGGGACAGCAATTCTTCACTGTAATTCAGATTGAGATTACACCATTTGCATTACCAGTGACTACCTGCTTTCAGTTTGGTGGTTAGTTATACTCTGTCATAGTAATCTGACTGAATTTCCATGAGAGCAGCTTAATTATTTTGATACATTCATTGCAATTACACTTATTCTAATAACCAACCCAATACATATACACCCCTGTCTCAGGTGTCAGTGGTACCTCCTCTAGTCTTCCTATGTGTCTCCCTGTGGCCTTGGCGGGAGTGCTCACACTCTCCATGGGGGTGCTCAGGTGGGTTACGTGGTTGGACAGGCTGAAGGTGGGAGACAGAAGGCCAGGGACAAACACTTTGCTCACCTGTGGACAGAACACATTTGACCATTTGACCTTGCATCACCGATAAACACATTTAAACAGTACGAGCACTACTTTCTAGTTACCCTCGTCACTCCAGTGTACAGAACCAAGCTTCCATTGGCTTCCAGAACTAGCATGGCATCTATATCCTGAGAGGAAAAATAACAGTTTGAGATGAGACCAAACCAATGATGTTTATAAACATGTAATAACATAGTACATAAGCACATATACACACAGTGCATTCGGAAAGTATTAAGACCCCTTGACTTTTTCCACATTTTGTTACCTTACAGCCTTATTCTAAAATGGATTAAATATATTTTCTTCCCATCAATATACACAAAAAATCCCATAATGACAAAGCGAAAACAAGTTTTTGAATTTTTTGCAAATGTATTACAAATAAAAAAACTGAAATACCTAATTTACATAAGTATTCAGACCCTTTGCTATGAGACTAAATTGAGCTCAGGTGCATACTGTTTCCATTGATCATCCTTGAGATGTTTCTACAATTTGATTGCGGTCCACCTGTGGTAAATTCAATTGATTGGACATGATTTGGAAAGGCACACACCTGTCTATATAAGGTCCCACAGTTGACAGTGCATGTCAGAGCAAAAACCAAGCCATGAGGTACAAGGAATTGTCCGTAGAGCTCCAAGACAGGATTGTGTCAAGGCACAGATCTAGGGAAGGGTATCAAAAAAATGTACGCAGCATTGAAGGTCCCCAAGAACACAGTGGGCTCCATCATTCTTAAATGGAAGAAGTTTGGAACCACCAAGACTCTTCCTAGAGCTGGCCGCCCTTGGTCAGGGAGGTGACCAAGAACCCGATGGTCACTCTGACAGAGCTCCAGAGTTCCTCTGTGGAGATGGGAGAACCTTCCAGAAGGACAACCATCTCTGCAGCACTCCACAAATCAGGCCTTTATGGTAGAGTGGCCAGATGGAAGCCACTGCTCAGTAAAAGGCACATCACAGCCTGCTTGGAGTTTGCCAAAAGGCACCTAAAGGACTCTCAGACCATGAGAAACAACATTCTCTGGTCTGATGAAACCAAGATTGAACTCTTTGGCCTGAATGCCAAGCGTCACGTCTGGAGGAAACCTGGCACCATACATACGGTGAAGCAAGGTGGTGGCAGCATCATGCTGTGGGGATGTTTTTCAGCGGCAGGGACTGGAGACTAGTCAGGATCGAGGGAAAGATGAACGGAGCAAAGTACAGAGAGATCCTTGATTAAAACCTGCTCCAGAGCGCTCAGCACCTCAGACTGGGGCGAAGGTTCACCTTCCAACAGGACAACGACCCTAAGCACACGGCCAAGACAACACAGAGCCCAGACTTGAACCCGATCGAACATCTCTGGAGAGACCTGAAAATAGCTGTGCAGCGACGCTCCCCATCCAACCTGACAGAGCTGGAGAGGATCTGCAAAGAATGGGAAAAACTCCCCAAATACAGGTGTGCCAAGCTTGTAGCGTCATACCCAAGAAGACTTGAGGCTGTAATCACTGCCAAAAGGTGCTTCAACAAAGTACTGAGTAAAGGGTCTGAACACTTATGTAAATGTCATATTTCCGTTTTTCTTATTTTATACATTTGCAAGAATGTCTAAAAACCTGTTTTTGCTTTGTCATTATAGGGTATTGTGTGTAGATTGATAAAAGGAAAAAACTATTTTTTCCTGTAAGGTAAGGCTGTAAGGTAACAAAATGTGGAAAAAGTAAAGGGGTCTGTAGCTCAGTTGGTAGAGCATGGCGCTTGCAACGCCAGGGTTGTGGGTTCGATTCCCACGGGGGGCCAGTATGAAAATGTATGCACTCACTAACTAAGTCGCTCTGGATAAGAGCGTCTGCTAAATGACTCAAATGTAAATGTAAATGTCTGAATACTTTCCGAATGCACTGTATGGACACAGCAACACACCATTTTACACACGTAGAATAAAGCAGTCAATAAGATAGGATCTTGACCATCATAAAAGTACAGTATGCTTTTGTTTAGCAGAATCTTTGCCACCGCTAGGGGAAACGCAAAGCAATTAGTCAGGTTGACTTTACCTGCAATGGTGCTGCGTCTTTTGCAGGGATAGTGGCAACAGATGCAAAGATAAGCTGAGAAGGATTGTTGCTCTCAATGAATTTTACACATCTATGAAGATAAACAAATCAACATGTGAGAGTGATTCACTGAGACAGAGAAAGAGAGAGAGTGACAGAAAGGACACAGAAAGCTGTTCCCTGACCTGAGCTGTTGGTGGGACTCCACGAGGAAGCACAGGTACTTGTTCTCACACAGGTCAGAGGTGATGAACACCTTAGAGGCCTGGCAGCTCATCTCCCTGCAGAAGTAGAGTGTTGTTTACCTCTCACACAGACACACAGCATCACCTTTAAACACCAGAACTGTATAACAGCCATATACACTGCTCAAAAAAATTAAGGGAACACTTAAACAACACATCCTAGATCTGAATGAATGAAATAATCTTATTAAATACTTTTTTCTTTACATAGTTGAATGTGCTGACAACAAAATCACACAACAATTATCAATGGAAATCAAATGTATCAACCCATGGAGGTCTGGATTTGGAGTCACCCTCAAAATTAAAGTGGAAAACCACACTACAGGCTGATCCAACATTGATGTAATGTCCTTAAAACAAGTCAAAATGAGGCTCATTAGTGTGTGTGGCCTCAACGTGCCTGTATGACCTCCCTACAACGCCTGGGCATGCTCCTGATGAGGTGGCGGATGGTCTCCTGAGGGATCTCCTCCCAGACCTGGACTAAAGCATCCGCCAACTCCTGGACAGTCTGTGGTGCAACGTGGCGTTGGTGGATGGAGCGAGACATGATGTCCCAGATGTGCTCAATTGGATTCAGGTCTGGGGAACGGGCGGGCCAGTCCATAGCATCAATGCCTTCCTCTTGCAGGAACTGCTGACACACTCCAGCCACATGAGGTCTAGCATTGTCTTGCATTAGGAGGAACACAGGGCCAACCGCACCAGCATATGGTCTCACAATGGGTCTGAGGATCTCATCTCGGTACCTAATGGCAGTCAGGCTACCTCTGGCGAGCACATGGAGGGCTGTGCGGCCCCCCAAAGAACTGCCACCCCACACCATGACTGACCCACCGCCAAACCGGTCATGCTGGAGGATGTTGCAGGCAGCAGAACGTTCTCCACGGCGTCTCCAGACTCTGTCACGTCTGTCACATGTGCTCAGTGTGAACCTGCTTTCATCTGTGAAGAGCACAGGGCGCCAGTGGCGAATTTGCCAATCTTGGTGTTCTCTGGCAAATGCCAAACGTCCTGCACGGTGTTGGGCTGTAAGCCCAACCCCCACCTGTGGACGTCGGGCCCTCATACCACCCTCATGGAGTCTGTTTCTGACCGTTTGAGCAGACACATGCACATTTGTGGCCTGATGGAGGTCATTTTGCAGGGCTCTGGCAGTGCTCCTCCTGCTCCTCCTTGCACAAAGGCGGAGGTAGCGGTCCTGCTGCTGGGTTGTTGCCCTCCTACGGCCTCCTCCATGTCTCCTGATGTACTCTGTAGCTCAGCTGGTAGAGCATGGCGCTTGTAACACCAAGGTAGTGGGTTCGATCCCCGGGACCACCCATACACAAAAATGTAAGTCGCTTTGGATAAAAGCGTCTGCTAAATGGCATATTATTATTATTATTATTATTATTATGTACTGGCCTGTCTCCTGGTAGCGCCTCCATGCTCTGGACACTAGGCTGAGACACAGCAAACCTTCTTGTCACAGCTCGCATTGATGTGCCATCCTGGATGAGCTGCACTACCTGAGCCACTTGTGTGGGTTGTAGACTCCGTCTCATGCTACCACTAGCGTGAAAGCACCGCCAGCACTCAAAAGTGACCAAAACATCAGCCAGGAAGCATAGGAACTGAGAAGTGGTCTGTGGTCACCACCTGCAGAACCACTTCTTCATTGGGGGTGTCTATAATTTCCACCTGTTGTCTATTCCATTTGCACAACAGCATGTGACATTTATTGTCAATCAGTGTTGCTTCCTAAGTGGACAGTTTGATTTCACAGAAGTGTGATTGACTTGGAGTTACAATGTGTTGTTTAAGTGTTCCCTTTATTTTTTTGAGCAGTGTATTTACTGTATATTTTGTACATCTATGGCTCTTCTTCAATGCTTTTTAATATTCCCCTTGTCAATGGATATTTGCTGTGTATATGAATGTACATTTATTTTTATGCAGCACAAGAAATGCCCCAAAGGGACAATAAATATCTATTTAATTGCATTCTCACACCTATTTCACATGATGCCCTATACAGTGAGGGAAAAAAAGTATTTGATCCCCTGCTGATTTTGTGCGTTTGCCCACTGACAAAGACATGATCAGTCTATAATTTTAATGGTAGGTTTATTTGAACAGTGAGAGACAGAATAACAACAACAAAATCCAGAAAAACGCATGTCAAAAATTTTATAAATTGATTTGCATTTTAATGAGGGAAATAAGTATTTGACCCCTCAGCAAAACATGACTTAGTACTTGGTGGCAAAACCCTTGTTGGCAAAACCCTTGTTGGCAATCACAGAGGTCAGACGTTTCTTGTAGTTGGCCACCAGGTTTGCACACATCTCAGGAGGGATTTTGTCCCACTCCTCTTTGCAGATCTTCTCCAAGTCATTAAGGTTTCGAGGCTGACGTTTGGCAACTCGAACCTTCAGCTCCCTCCACAGATGTTCTATGGGATTAAGGTCTGGAGACTGGCTAGGCCACTTCAGGACCTTAATGTGCTTCTTCTTGAGCCACTCCTTTGTTGCCTTGGTCGTGTGTTTTGGGTCATTGTCATGCTGGAATACCCATCCACGACCCATTATTAATGCCCTGGCTGAGGGAAGGAGGTTCTCACCCAAGATTTGACGGTACATGGCCCCGTCCATCGTCCCTTTGATGCGGTGAAGTTGTCCTGTCCCCTTAGCAGAAAAACACTCCCAAAGCATAATGTTTCCACCTCCATGTTTGACGTTGGGGAGGGTGTTATTGGGGTCATAGGCAGCATTCCTCCTCCTCCAAACACGGCGAGTTGAGTTAATGCCAAAGAGCTCCATTTTGGTCTCATCTGACCACAACACTTTCACCCAGTTCTCCTCTGAATCATTCAGATGTTCATTGGCAAACTTCAGACAGGCCTGTATATGTGCTTTCTTGAGGAGGGGGACCTTGCGGGCGCTGCAGGATTTCAGTCCTTCACGGCGTAGTGTGTTACCAATTGTTTTCTTGGTGACTATGGTCCCAGCTGCCTTGAGATCATTGACAAGATCCTCCCGTGTAGTTCTGGGCTGATTCCTCACCGTTCTCATGATCATTGCAACTCCACGAGGTGAGATCTTGCATGGAGCCCCAGGCCGAGGGAGATTGACAGTTATTTTGTGTTTCTTCCATTTGCGAATAATCACACCAACTGTTGTCACCTTCTCACCAAGCTGCTTGGCGATGGTCTTGTAGCAGATTCCAGCCTTGTGTAGGTCTACAATCTTGTCCCTGACATCCTTGGAGAGCTCTTTGATCTTGGCCATGGTGGAGAGTTTGGAATCTGATTGATTGATTGCTTCTGTGGACAGGTGTCTTTTATACAGGTAACAAGCTGAGATTAGGAGCACTCCCTTTAAGAGTGTGCTCCTAATCTCAGCTCGTTACCTGTATAAAAGACACCTGGGAGACAGAAATCTCTGATTGAGAGGGGGTCAAATACTTATTTCTCTCATTAAAATGCAAATCAATTCATAACATTTTTGACATGCGTTTTTCTGGATTTTGTTGTTGTTATTCTGTCTCTCACTGTTCAAATAAACCTACCATTAAAATTATAGACTGATCATTTCTTTGTCAGTGGAAAAAACGTACAAAATCAGCAGGGGATCAAATACTTTTTTCCCTCACTGTATGTTTGAAACATCAAATCGCAGTATCAAATTTCAATACATATGCAATAGTGAGAATCGCAATACATATCGAATCGGCACCTAAGTATCGTGATATCGTATCGTGAGGTCCCTGGCAATTCCCAGCCCTAATTATAAACTAGGAGTGGTTCAACCAACTAGACCACAGAGCAGGATTCATGACAACCACTGTAGACAGCGGTGAATGTCAGACACTGACTTGTGGGAGGAAGCCGTCTCACTCCACAGCTGCTCGATGCATAGGTCAGGCACTATGGGCTCCATCTCCGGGACCAGCACAGACTCGTTGGCCGTGCTGTTGGGCGAGGGCAGGAAGCTGTGCCCTCTGGGGGACGATGAGTGGTACGACATGTTAAACCGTGCCGCAACCGAGAAGGAGGGTGCCGCCATGCCAGGGGAGTGGGACCGGCTACAGACATGGGTCAAAAGAGCGCAGAAGGGTGGTTAGTTATGGTCCATGATGTGGTTGTTGTAAATGAGTCATGAGCTTTTGAGGGTGAATGTTTGACTGAAACTGTGTATAATCCTGTGGGACAGCAGAGATCCAATTTATAGTATATGGTATTTACATCCTATTTGGGTATTTGACTCAAAGCCTGCACTCTGCAGCGCTCCAGGACCAGAACTGAAGACACCTGGTATAAACTCACCTGAGTGCAGCCATGCTGGAGATGCTGGGTGAGTGTGTCCGTGAGTGGAGGCCTGGTGATGAGGTCATCCTGTTTTGGTTGTGCAGGGCGTGGCAATGAAAGGGTGAACCGGGCGAGTCCATCCTGGAGACGTTCCTCAGGTGTGTGGTCAGAAAGCTGGGCGGCATCAGGCCTTGGGGCGTGGCTACCTGCTCCGGACACTTCAGCACTGTGGACTGCTCCTGTGGGACAGAGTTAAAGGTTAAACTAAAATGATATACAACCAACAGATTCTGTTCCAACCCCCCCAGACCCAACTCATCAGAAAGCCTCCACCCCATGACCAAACTAGCAATTTAGTGCAGTCTGTGGTCCCGATGGTGCGCAAACAAAAATGGGCAGGGTCCGGGTGCCGTTTTCACAGTTTGGTTGCTATAGTTCGGATCAGGGTTAGATTATTTGTTACATTGTCTTTTTTGCCCCCATTTGGTCCAGTTGGTTTCACATTGTCAAAACTAACTAAAATGCCTAAACAAAACCATGTATACACGCAAGTCATTTATTGAACAAAAATGCTCACCTTAAATCAATCTATGATAGTCTAATCATGGAGTATCACTTGAGTGTCCCAATCTTCAAATTTTTACTTTTGCTGGTCTTCCAACAACATGCTCTAATAACTGGGCAGTATTCGTCTGCCGACCTCCCGCTGTAGACGTCTGACTGCCAACATTTTCCACTTGATTCTAAATGTGAAAATCGGTGCACACTTGGTTTGCTAATTATGTTCAGAGGTGCTAAGTACTCTGGGCCAGAAAACTCTTAGTGTGTCAGCTCTTAGTCTATTACCAATCTAGAGTGTATAAACTATTAAATTTTGTAAGGAATACTGTCCAATCAAAATCAATAGCCTGGCTATTTCTAAGGCCATTTCTGTAGGCAACATTCATTTCTTCATTTCAAGTGGGCAGTGTGTTTGATAGGTAATAACTCCATTTTGGAATAAGCTATAAGGATAAAAGGGAACATATTTCAACCAAAGACCTTGGTCTTTCTAATAATGTTAAACATTTGTCTCATAAGATCTAGGCCTACTGGTGTTGAGAAATACATTCCAGTAGGAAGTGTGATACAGTCCCAGTCAGAGTGAGTAAAAAGTGTGACACGTTGCCGACAAAATGATTCAGTGAAATCAAATGATGATATCGCCTGCATTTCATCAAATTCAGCACTGCATCCGCTTTCTGTCCATGTGGCAGTGGTGTAAAGTACTTAAGTAAAAATACTTCAATACATTTGTCAAAGGAGACCAAACCAACATTAGATTTTCCTGGCTTCCAACACGTGTCAAACATGCTCCAAATTCTAATTCACATATAAGCAATGGTGCTACCTCACACAATTTACAAAATGACATACTGGTTTCCTTACCCTGTAAGCAGTCTATGGACAAGCAATCCATGCTTTTGTGTAGTTTACCTGGCACAGTTTCCACATGCTAACGTTTTAGCATGTGGCACAAATCCCACTGAAGTCATGGTACCAATATTAGCATTTTTTGTGAACCATGTTCAAATCATCTACAAGTGACTTTGTTGAGCTTCACAATCAATTATTTGGAAATTATAATATTGGTACCATGACCCGAATGGGATTTGTGCCACAAACACTAGAACATTAGCATTTGGAAACAGTGTGTCATTTTGTAATTATCCCTGGCACAAGTCGGACCAATTTAAATCCACTCTTAGGGGTCGTAGATAGGCCTTTGAGTCATCACTCATGCTACGATGAGAATTATTTTCCAATTCCATTGATACATGAACATTACATTTTCTACCACTGAAGAATCATAGAGGTAGCAGTAATGGAACAGTAATAACAGTGTTTTTCTTGCATGTTATCTTACATCTGGAGTGACTTTCCGCAGCGCCCACACAGAGTGTATGCACTGCACGGTGTCGTATGTCATGACTATGGAGGGCTCACAGTTGGAGAAGACGATTTTCATGGTGCTGTCAGAGACGTACTGTACACGTGCAGCCTCGAACAGACCTGCCAGAGACACAGGAGATGAGCAATTAACAAGCCATAATGGGGCCAGCAATTAAGGTACCGGTAGCCAGCTAACAGGGCAGCCAAGGAGTGCAAGAGAGCCAACAATACGCTGGCTCCAACATTCAGGTTTCAACATCCATTATAGTTTATTTGTATGGTGCTTTCCGCCATGCTCTTTGTAAACACAATGTGAAACAAATAGTGACAATTTCTATGTATGCGTGTTTCTGTTGAGAGTCTCACCTGTAGGCCTGCACACCACTGGGGCAATCTCATCCAGAGGGTGCAGCATGCTGAATACTGTTGGGAGAGGTTCCCTGAGAACAGATAAACAAACAGTGGTATGTTCAAAACAAACTCTCCTGACACACTAGCATGAACCAAAATATATCAGAAACAGCAGGATGTGTGTTTTACAGGTTTCTGCTGTGTACCTGGGAGGACTCAGAGGAGCATCGGGTGCAGGGTTTTTGCGTTCCAACAGCAGACCAAACTTAGTAGGCCACAGATTAGAGACCTGTAAAAGGCGAGAGTCACAGTACTTAATTTCATGAAATCCAATTCAAGGTGATGTTGGAGAACAATTTGATAACCTTGTGAATCATGACTCACTTGAATGGCTCACTAAATAAACAGGCAGTTTGCATTTTCATAGTATCTCTGGTGGGAATCAAGACATGTCCCTATTTACAGTAGAATAATGCTGGAGTCTGACGGCGGCTCATGAGTCATGTATTATCAACTACAACTGAACTGGTTAAAAAAATGTATTTAAAAGAAATGCATCCACCAACACAAATCTGGTCTGTAAATGTGGACCCAATCAACGTCAGCTAAATTAGCTCCCAAGAAAGCAACGTAATTTAACCTGCATGTCACAAAGTAGGCCTAGGCTTACGCAGTGTTTTTCCCGCAACTCACCAGGAAAACAAAACCAAATTCAATAATGTCAAGTGGATTTCGATGTGAAAAAGAATCACACATACATGCAGAGGCAGTTAATTGCATGATGGTGTTTTCATTGTAATCTGAAGCCTCTTGTCAGCTGTCAGTGTGCCAAATCATCCATTACCATTGGTTAAGAAGACAATGGACTGGTCCTGGGGAACATCAATAACTGTAAAACAACCATAATTACTGTCCATATCTGCTAGTTCTCCTTAAGGGATTCTAATTAGGAAATTAGACAGCCAGAACTGGGAGACATATTTTAGATAATGTACAAATAAGGATTTATCTAACAAATGTTCATAGTAAATCACATTTCAAGACGTCATCACAAGTAGTACTTCACCAAATTCAACACGTAATGAACACCATGAAATGTCAAATGACAGACCATCCAGCGATGATACCACACATTTTAGACAATGTAACAGCATATCAATCAGTGATGAGGAACTCACCTGAAAGGGTAGAGGGGAGATAAAGTCCTTCCCTGTCACACTGTGCACATTCACACAGCTGCTCTGGACAATACACACTGTCTGCTCCATAATCTCCTGCTCTGGAATACAATAGAGCAAATGAACATCTTCGCAACATTACTGAGATAAAACATTAAAAAATATATATACACATCAATGAGCTATAGAATTTAATGAAGATAAATTGTGACGATGAGGATGTGGCATCGGCCTACTTACCATCTTTCTTCTTTTGTGGAATACCAAAGTTACACCATAATGCCTGAAAAGGGATGTAGAGAGATATTACTGGATATACATCCTGAAAAAAAGAATTATTGAAATGCTTGATAAGCTGTCTAATATCATAATGTTGACGATGACAACATACATGCCATATAATGTACACACAGAGTATAGGTATGTATGTTTAATATGACATGTTTAGTTTGATGTTGTGATTACCTGTTGTACTGGACTGTCCACGGTAAAAGCTTTGTAGACATGGGAGGCTTGACTCTTGCTCCCTTTGCTCCATATGACCATGTTTCCTGCTGCATAGAGCTCCTCATCATACTCCATCTCATCACTGTCCACGCTGGAACCCTTTCTCAGCAACCAGCATTCCTGCAAACAGACACACAATGGTGAAAAAAAATCTCCTTACTTGGCTTATGTATCAAACAGAACCACCACACAACAGACGGCGCTTTAAAGAAAAGTATGCAGCTGAAACCATAAGCCGAGTAAGGAGATCTTATTTGAACCAAAGCAAGGAAGCTATCTGGCAAACTGGTTATTTATCCCAGATATAGCTATACATATTTATCAGTAGCACCCTGTACATGTGAGATAAGAAGATGACCAAGAGTTTCCCCCCAGTCTTACCCTCTTCTTCTCCTGTAGAGTGACCTCCTGGAGGGAGCCCACCAGACCAGCTGCTCCATCTGAGGACCAGAGCTCAGAGGCTGGCTGCAGCTGCCGGAGCTGCAGGTTCACAGCGTTTGGGTGGTTCTTGCAGTGCTCACGGCCAAACGGGCCAAACGACTGCAATTCCCCTGCGGCTATCATTGTGGCTCTCTCTTCATAGACGTTCGACATGAGTTCCAGATATCAGCATTATTTCTGAGAGAGAGAGTGTATGTTACTGCATGAAGTCAAATACATTATAAACATCTGACAGTATACATCACTTAGAAATATCCTGTTACACTTCACCTGTAGAATGCTGTGAAATACTTCGAAAATACAATGATGATACAGTGATGAAGCAGAGAGTGTTCACCAGACTGAAGGGATGCTCAGGTCTGGAAACATGGGGTGAAATGACATGACAACATGTTGGTCAGAGTCAAGAAGTTATACTAGCTAGCTGTACAGCTCATTGTGAATTGTTTATTTTGCTAGCCAACTCAACTGCTAGCTAGGTAGAACATGCTCAACGGCAGACAAGTAGCTAGCTATAACAGCTTAATAACTATAGCTAGCTAACTATTAAACTACTGCAGCTAGCAATTGGCTTGAAAATAAGATAAAATAGTTGCTAGCTAGCTACGGTCTGTGGTCATCGTTACTTTTTTTGTATCATGACTTAATTAGCTAGCCAGCCAGCTAATTACCGTTACCAAACTAACGTTCGCTAGCTAGCTGTTGCAATGCTAGGCTAGCCGGTTAACTAATTCAGTAGCAAAACATTCAGCATGAAAGACTCACGTTATAGCAGATTGCTAATATTAGCTGGATACATTTCGTAAACTTCAAGAACTCACATACATATATATATATATATATATATATATATATATATATATATATAACGTTGAGTGTTGCATGTTTGTGTCTGGCTAGCTAGCAACCATGTTTAGATTAGCATACTATCATACATGCAGTGTCTAGCTAGCTAGCATGCTGCCGTGGCACAGGCGCGAACCTGATAATAAGGAATAGTCTGGCTCTTGTCTCGGAGTCCTTGTCTTTTCTTTATATGACTCTTCCTCGAGTACCACGTAATCAGTATTGTCAACATAAAAACAACTTAAAGCAACACCTAAAATAAGAATATAGCTAGCTACATCAGTTTTTCAAATGTGCGCGGACATCTTGCTGTCCCGAGATTCTTATCCTCACTTTATCAACCAATCAAGTAGGATGGAGGAAAGTGACGCACCATGTGTCAAGCGGTTATATTTCCACAATTATATTTCCAGCAATAGATACATTGTAGCCAGAGAGAATGGAACATACATTATATATACAAAATTAGTGGATTCAGCTATTTCAGCCACACCCGTTGCTGGCAGCTGTATAAAATCGAGCACACCGCCATGCAATCTCCATAGACAAACATTGGCAGTAGAATGGCCTTACTGAAGAGCTCAGTGACTTTCAACGTGGCACCGTCATAGGATGCCACCTTTCCAACAAGTCAGTTCGTCAACTTTCTGCCCTGCTAAAGATGCCCCGGTCAACTGTAAGTGCTGTTATTGTGAAGTGGAAAGTTCTAGGAGCAACAAAGCTGAGCCACACAAGCTCACAGAACGGGACCGCCGAGTGCTGAAGCGCGTAGAGCGTAAGAATCGTCTGTCATCGGTTGCAACACTCACTACCGAGTTCCAAACTGCCTCTAGAAGCTTTTGATAATGTAGTGTAAGTAGGCCTATCCAAATAGTGAATAATATGGCACTTAACATTTCATTTATTATAAGAAATTGCAATGCAAAAAGTATTGCACAAGCAGTCAGGAAAGCAAAGGCTAACTTTTTCAAACAGAAATTTGCATCCTGTAGCACTAACTCCAAAAAGTTTTGGGACACTGTAAAGTCCATGGAGAATAAGAGCACTTCCTCCCAGCTGCCCACTGCACTGAGGCTAGGAAACACTATCACCACCGATAAATCTACAATAATCGAGAATTTCAACAAGCATTTTGCTACAGCTGGCCATGCTTTCCATCTGGCTACCACTAACCCGGCCACCAACTCTGCACCCTCTGCTGCAACTTGCCCATGCCCCCCCCGCTTCTCCTTCACACAAATTCAGACAGCTGATGTTTTGAAAGCGCTGCAAAATCTGGACCCCTACAAATCAGCTGGGCTAGACAATCTGGACCCTTTCTTCCTAAAACTAGCCGCCGAAATTGTCGCAACCGCTATTACTAGTCTGTTCAACCTCTCTTTCATAACGTCTGAGATCCCCAGAGATTGGAAAGCTGCCGCGGTCATCCCCCTCTTCAAAGGGGGTGACACTCTAGATCCAAACTGCTACAGACCTATATCCATCCTGCCCTGCCTTTCGAAAGTATTCGAAAGCCAAGTTAATAAACAGATCATCGACCATTTCGAATACCACCGTACCTTCTCCGCTATGCAATCTGGTTTCCGAGCTGGTCACGGGTGCACTTCAGCCACGCTCAAGGTCCTAAACGATATTATAACCGCGATTGATAATAGACAGTACTGTGCAGCCGTCTTCATCGACCTGGCCAAGGCTTTCGACTCTGTCAACCACCGCATTCTTATTGGCAGACTAAATAGCCTTGGTTTCTCAAATGACTGCCTCGCCTGGTTCACCAACTACTTCTCAGATAGAGTTCAGTGTGTCAAATCGGAGGGCCTGTTGTCTGGACCTATGGCAGTCTCTATGGGGGTGCCACAGGGTTCAATTCTTGGGCCGACACTTTTCTCCGTGTATATCAATGATGTCGCTCTTGCTGCTGGTGACTCTCAGATCCACCTCTACGCAGACGACACCATTTTGTATACATCTGGCCCTTCATTGGACACTGTGTTAACAAACCTCCAAACGAGCTTCAATGCCATACAACAATCCTTCAGTAGCCTTCAACTGCTCTTAAACACTAGTAAAACTAAATGCATGCTTTTCAATCGAACGCTGCTAGCACCCGCCCACCCGACTAGAATCACCACTCTCGACGGGTCTGACCTAGAGTATGTGGACAACTACAAATACCTAGGTGTCTGGTTAGACTGTAAACTCAACTTCCAGACTCACATAAAGAATCTCCAATCCAAAGTTAAATCTAGGATCGGCTTCCTATTTCGCAACAAAGCCTCCTTCACTCATGCTGCCAAACATGCCCTCGTAAAACTGACTATCCTACCGATCCTTGACTTCGGCGATGTCATTTATAAAATAGCCTCCAACACTCTACTCAGCAAATTGGATGTAGTCTATCACAGTGCCATCCGTTTTGTCTCCAAAGCCCCATACACTACCCACCACTGTGACCTGTACGCTCTTGTTGGCTGGTCCTCACTACATGTTCGTCGTCAAACCCACTGGCTCCAGGCCATCTATAAATCACTGCTAGGCAAATCCCCGCCTTATCTAGGCTCATTGGTCACCATAGCAGCACCCACCCGTAGTCTGCGCTCCAGCAGGTATATCTCACTGGTCATTCCCAAAGCCAACACCTCCTTTGGCCGCCATTCCTTCCAGTTCTCTGCTGCCAATGACTGGAACGAATTGCAAAAATCTCTGAAGCTGGAGACTCTTATCTCCCTCAATAACTTTAAGCATCAGTTGTCAGAGCACCTTACCGATCACTGCACCTGTACACAGCCCATCTGAAATTAGCCCACCCAACTACCTCATCCCTATATTGTTATTTAATTTGCTCTTTTGCACCCCATTATCTCTATTTGCACATAATCTCTTGCACATCTAGCATTCCAGTGTTAATACTATTGTAATTATTCTGCACTATAGCCTATTTATTGCCTTACCTCCATAACTTGCTACATTTGCACACACTGTATATATATTTTCTGTTGTATCTCTGACTTTTTTTTTTTTTTTTTTTACCCCATATGTAACTCTGTGTTGTTTTTTGTTGCACTACTTTGCTTTGTCTTGGCCAGGTCACAGTTGTAAATGAGAACCTGTTCTCAACTGGTTTACCTGGTTAAATAAAGGTGAAATAAAAAATAAATAAAAAAATTAATCTCAATGATGTTCTGTCTGGGATGCAATAGGACTATGCCAGGTGCCAAACATGCTTGAGCTCTTTGATATAGGCCATGTCCAGATTTTCTTATTTGTCTCCATTATTTTTCATTGTGATTGATGCTCACGAATGCAGGTGACATAGGGACTAGAGATGACATGTCAGATCAATATGAGTTTAATAGAAAGATTTAGGGAGATATTCCTTCCAACAGTGTGCCTGCTAAACTAGGTTGTCTTCTCTGGCAATATTCCTGTTTGTCCTGAGGTACATTACAAAAGAGTGTGCCTCCACACCTGTTATTGAACTTGATAATTATTTATATATTGTAGTAATCACTCACTTTTAACTGCTCTCCCCTATGTCATGATGTGTGTCTAGGACAGGGCAAAATTTACACCATAAGAATACATTTTTACTAAAATATTTTTGAAGCATCTCTCAGCATCTCAGCAAGAATTCCTATCTTCCCCATAAGTACTTCCTCTGAATGCAACTATTCTTGTGTAGCAGTAGAATCTGTGATGCGTATCTGGCTGTCTGACTGTATGTGGACACCTGCTCGTCGAACATCTCATTCCAAATTCATGGGCATTGATATGGAGTTGGTCCCCCCTTTGCTGCTATAATAGCCTCCACTCTTCTGGGAAGGCTTTCCACTAGATGTTGGAACATTGCTACAGGGACTTGCTTCCATTCAGCCACATAAGCATTAGTGAGGTCGGGCACTGATGTTGGGCAATTAGGCCTGGCTCGCAGTCTGCATTCCATTTCATCCCAAAGGTGTTCGATGGGGTTGAGGTCAGGGCTCTGTGCAGGCCAGTCAAGTTCTTCCACACCAATCTCGACAAACCATTTCTTTATGGACCTCGCTTTGTGTATGGGTCATTGTCATGCTGAAACAGGAAAGGGCCTTCCCCAAACTGTTGCCACAAAGTTGGAAGCACAGAATCATCTAGAATGTCATTGTATGCTGTAGCATTAAGATTTCCCTTCACTGGAACTAAGGGGCCTAGCCTGAACCATGAAAAACAGCCGCCAACCAATGTTCCTCCTCCATCAAACTTTACAGCTGGCACAATGCATTGGGGCAGCTAGCGTTCTCCTGGCATCCACCAAACCTAGATTTGTCCGTCAGACTGCCAGATGGTGAAACGTGATTCATCACTCCAGAGAACGCGTTTCCACTGCTCCAGAGTCCAATGGCGGTGCGCTTTACACCACTCCAGCCAATGCTTGGCATTGCGCATGGTGATCTTAGCCTTGTATGCAGCCATGGAAACCCATTTCATGAAGATTCCGACGAACAGTTATTGTGCTGACGTTGCTTCCAGAGGCAGTTTGGAACTAGGTAGTGAGTGTTGCAACCGAGAACAGATTATTTTTACGCGCTACGTGCTTCAACACTCGGCGGTCCCGTTCTGTGAGCTTGTGTGGCTTACCACTTCGCGGCTGAGCCGTTGTTGCTCCTAGATGTTTCCACTTCACAATAAAAGCACTTACAGTTGACCGGGGCAGCTCTAGCAGGGCAGAAATGTGACAAACTGACTCGTTGGATAGTTGGCATCCTATGACGGTGCCACGTTGAAAGTCACTGAGCTCTTCAGTAAGGCCATTCTACTGCCAATGGTTGTCTATGGAGATTGCATGGCTATGTTCTCGATTTTATACACCTGTCAGCAACGGGTGTGGCTGAAATAGCCGAATCCACTCATTTGAAGGGGTGTCCACATACTTTTGTATATATAGTGTAGATGATATCCAGAGAACCATCTCCTCAGAGAGTTGAATGACATTCCTTAAATACAATTTATCTTGTTAGTATTGAAGGAAATGTTATGCATGGCTCTACCTCTGAGAGCAACCCAGAGAGAAAAAGCTGTAATGTGATTGGATCTGATGACTGGTGGTCCCAGGATTGTTGTAGGGTGGTTTGTGCCTTTGATTACTGGACTAATGAAGCACTGAGACCATTACTGGTCATAATGTCTTCCATATGGCTTGAGACACTAATGTATTTACAGAATTAGTTGGGATGCAATGAAGAACTGTTCATATAATTGATCCGTTGCAGGGATTTCAGCCTAAAACAGGACCATGATTACAGGTCCCCCATGGGCCCAAAATAAGGTGTACCATCAGCATACAGTGTGTGTTTTATTTGGGCCCATTTGGGCTCAAAGTTATTGTTTTTTATTGCCTAAATGTAATATTTATCCAAATGCAGTAGCTTAACAAAGTCGAAATCTTGAATGAAATGTGGATTTTTTTTCTTTAAATAAAACCAAGTACACAGTTTAGAACATACCAATGATCTACAGTTGAAGTTGGAAGTTTACATACACTTAGGTTGGAGTCATTAAAACTCGTTTTTCAACCACTCCACAAATTTCTTGTTAACAAATTATAGTTTTGGCAAGTCGGTTAGGACATCTACTTTGTGCATGACACAAGTAATTTTTCCAACAATTGTTTACAGACAGATTATTTCACTTATAATTCATTGTATCACAATTCCAGTGGGTCAGAAGTTTACATAGACTAAGTTGGCTGTGCCTTAAACAGCTTGGAAAATTCCAGAAAATGATGTCCCAACCGTGAAGCACGGGGGTGGCAGCATCATGCTGTGGGGGTGATTTGCTGCAGGAGGGACTGGTGCACTTCACAAAATAGATGGCATCATGAGGAAGGAAAATTATGTGGATATATTGAAGCAACATCTCAAGACGTCAGTCAGGAAGTTAAAGCTTGGTCGCAAATGGGTCTTCCAAATGGACAATGACCCCAAGCATACTTCCAAAGTTGTGGCACAATGGCTTAAGGACAACAAAGTCAAGGTATTGGAGTGGCCATCACAAAGCCCTGACCTCAATCCTATAAAAAATGTGTGGGCAGAACTGAAAAAGCATGTGCGAGCAAGTAGGCCTACAAACCTGACTCCGTTACACCAGCTCTGTCAGGAGGAATGGGCCAAAATTCACCCAACTTATTGTTGCTGACATTATTGCTGGATGACTGAGAGGAAAGTCTGTGCATCATAACACCAAAGTTATGGTTTCAGCAATGCAGTAGTTTATGAGGATATATAACTGGCTCATCCAATGGAACTTGCAAACTCTGCACATTCCATCAAAATAATGCATGTGTTTCCTGTATGACAGGGTCCTTTCCAGACTCTGTTTTTAAATCATCACTGTCAATTAAATGAGCATGTTTCCTAGTCCTTTGTCTATAATCTACTTGATGTTTGGCATGATGACATCACAATTGTGATTAGGCTTCCAGAGGCTGCTGGTAGAGATAGGGCTACAGCCGCCCAGTCTTGAATATATGAGATGCATTCAACAATGTCACCCAGTCTTGAATATATGAGATGCATTCAACAATGTCACCCAGTCTTGAATATATGAGATGCATTCAACAATGTCACCCAGTCTTGAATATATGAGATGCATTCAACAATGTCACCCAGTCTTGAATATATGAGATGCATTCAACAATGTCACCCAGTCTTGAATATATGTGATGCATTCAACAATGTCACCCAGTCTTGAATATATGAGATGCATTCAACAATGTCACCCAGTCTTGAATATATGAGATGCAAACAATGGGACCCAACACTGAGAATCAGTACAGCTAAACTAGAGTCCAACACTGATACTGAATCCAAATGCAGAAGTACGACACTATGGCTCAAACCTGAAGCATATCACTGAAATTAACCAGTGTCAAAAACATTATGGGTTATAGAAACACATTTGTCAGTACTTGAGCCTTGAGGGATATTCTAAATGATTGATCTATTTTCCCATGGAACCACCAACATTCCAGCACAACAGCCATACATACGGTCTTGCATCTACCACACTACAAATAAGATCACAAAGTCTATAGTATTAATTGCCTCTGGGAACAACTCTTTTCAATACACTCTCTCCAATCAGAACATCTGTGCAAATCTTTACTTAGTTCAACCTAATAAGGGGATGATGGGATTTGTATGTGATTGCTTCTGGTGTAATGGAAGTGTGTAAAGTTATTCCATGAGAGTATCTGACATCTGTGTCAACTGAGCCTTTCATCTGCATTGTGTAAGGGAATGTCAATGTTTAATGTCTTTATATTGGGAGAGACAATAGGCAGGGCTGGGATTGAGGGTGGTTAGGAGGAGGAGAGAGTGATATAGAGTAGAACGATTATGAAATTGGAGAGGTGGAGAGAGGAGGTAGAAGAGGAGAAACGCAGGAGATTTAGGTGCTTAAACTGATAAAGACTATTCATGGTTTCAAGCATTATTTTTTTCTTCATGGCTATCATGCAGACACTGTACAACCACTCAGAGGGAGTTATAGTCCAAGATATCACACAATTACATAAACCAATTTCAAGTTATGTACCTGAAATACAATCTGGGGAGATGGAAAGATCCACGGTGTCCACATTGTGTATAACATTATATTTACTTTGCTTACCAAATGTTAAAAGGTATTTTTACTGTTTTTTAGTGTTTTGTTTACCCCTATTCATAACTATTAGGCCTATACCATTGCAAATGTGTATAACATAAGATGAGTCAACCCCCGTGATATGAAATAAGTAATTATTGTATGAGCAAAACTAATTTTACCATAGGGTTGGTTTGGCTGAGCATGCCAACAAGCCAATGACGAATGCATCACTCCCAATGGGACTTATATGACGTATCAACCTTGATCAAATCTGATTGCCTTCCTGCTTGATGAAAAGTATTCAGATGTATAAAACGAGGGAAGGATTGAAGGTATAGTAAGAGACGCTGACCAGTGAAGAAGCAACTGAGGTACTGAACAGTGTTCCGTGACTTCTCTAGGAGATACAACCACAAAGCATTCCAGGACCTTGGACAGCACCCGATACCCAACAGGAACAGCAGATCATTAACTAAAGAAAATGTAAGACTTTTTCAAATTGTGCTATTTGTTTTTGATAATTATGATATTTGTTAGATATTCTTTTCAGTTAGGCTTCACATCATATTGTAATTGCATAGGCTACAATGTGTTTTACCCCAGTTTGCTATCTAGGGTAAAAGTTTTGGGCACATCTTTGGATTTATTAGTCATTGTATCCATCGTCCAGCAAATTAATAGCTTTAAATAGTTATTGATTCCAAATATAAGACTGATTTGTGATTGGCAATTGCATTTGAGAACATACACAAATGCTCATTCAAAGGTTGAAACCAAGTCCTCACCAACTGCGCAACTGCGCATTTGTTTTCATTCTCAACGTTTGAATCTTGTGGTTTACTCATCTGGTTTACTCTTATTCCTTAACAATATACAAGAGAAAGAGACGGTGTTGATAAATTCTGTGCATAAAGTGGTACCGAATAACGAGGCAATGATTTTAAGAAATGTTGTCGTTTTCATATTGACCATAAGAATGTAGGCTATGTGAAAGACAACCCATATCTCCCTTTACAGGTATAAAGCGATGTTACAAAGGAACGGCTCCCAGCTCCTTTTCCTAATAGCCCTGTGCAGTGTGTTATATTCCCGGACTCAGTGTTTGCCATATACATCTATGAGGTAGGAATAATACCGCTATTACTCATTTAAAAATATATTGTTTTTGTGCATGAGGACATAAAAGGTCTAAAAGAGCATCAAAAGTTACTTTTGCCAAAGAGTTCAAGAACTGCAAGGACATACTCACTTGTTATATTATATGCTGTAGGCCAATAACTTTATGTGTACCAATAGGAATGTATAATAATAGCCTATCATCATAGACAAATAAATTATAGGCTATAGTGTTAGTGTTTTAACTTATTCTAACTCTGGGTTAATCAATAAACAAGATAATCAACAATTAATTCGTCGACTATATCCTAGAACAATACTACTTTCTAACAATAACATTTAAGTCTTGAGAAATGTTATTTTATGTAGCCGACAGGCTACTTTTATATAAGTGAATATTGATTGTGTTCTCTGGATGATTAAGAAAGTAATGAATAATCAGTGGAACGTGGTAATTTCTTCCAATGGAATATTGGATGTCAGGATACAAAAAATTACGAATTTAAGTGTCTGTCTGCCTCATGACAACTTAATGTCGTTTTGGTATTGTCTAAGAGTAATCGACATACGCCAATATTTGTTTTACCCCAATGTAGCCTATTGAAACGTTCCGCCCATGAAAGACTCTCAAACCACCTTTTCAGATTTTTGCTAGACAGTGTGACTTAAAACTGTTTTAATCTGTTTGCAGACCGACGAGACACGCAGACGGTCTCTTTACTAGTGGATACAGCAAACTTCTTGGACAGCTATCGGCGCGGCGGTACCTGGAATCCTTGATTGGAAAGCGAGTCAGGTAGACTGTAGTTCATGCTTTTCCTTCAGATCAGCGCGCGGAGTTTGATGCCCCTATTAAACGCGTATTTTAACAGTATGATAACATTGATATCCACATATTTTCAGGAGCATTCAGGTTTATTGAAAACATGTAGAGTCAGGAAGCTTGACAGAAATACCTATTCCACAAAATTGTCTTCCTGTATGCATATTTCTGTGATTTTAGTCTCATTGAAAACATGTGGATATATCCTTAAGAAAGTTGTATTAGCGTACCTGCCATGAAAACGTCTAATAATCTCATTTGTTGTAATTGTATGAGATTTGTCATCTCAATAGTGATTCACTTATGGTTTAAATAACCCTATTTATTGGATAAGTTTAGTAAAAGCCTAAACAGGTTAGCAAAAGTCTCAAAATGATGGACTAAAATGTGTTATGGTTAATTTGTCACAGTGATGACATGATGGAGGATCAGGTACCAGTGAAGCGCCACTCAGATGCCATATTCACAGACAACTACAGTCGCTTCCGCAAACAGATGGCTGTGAAGAAATACCTGAACTCAGTTCTGACGGGAAAGAGAAGGTGGGAACAAGTACAGAGCACAATAATGGATTGTGTGTGTGTGTTTGCGAGTGTGCATGCATGTGTATGTCAGCATGTGCATTTTTGCAGTGTGCCTCCACAGTGTGAGAAAAGTCAAATGTACCCTTCTTGTCTTTTCAGTCAAGAAGACCCTCCCATGCAAGAAGAATCCAGAAGTGAGCCCTCGTTTCTAGAGAACTACGATGACGTCAATGTAGATCACCTTCTCAATAACTTCCAACTGGTAGGTTCAGTCTCTCTCCTCTTCCTCCTCCTCCTCCATTCACTTTCACGCCACCCTCATTTATAGGTTTAGTTGAACGCCATCTCCATTGGGTTGTTACTGTGGTGGTCATTGCATAGAGAGGGTATGGAACACAGTGTGGTCGCACTGCTACCCATAGAGACAGCAAGACCTGACATCTGTATAGTGGAGTTGTAGTGGACAAACGTAGCTGCATTTACATATACTGTATAGCCATAGGGCTACTTTAATTTTTACTACAGGAGCTCAGCTATTGAAAACTTATGGACAATACAGTATAATGTTTCTATTAAATGAATGCCCTCATCATGTGTCTTCTCATACCATGATCTGAAACTCTGTTGCATGTACTATTCTGATCAATAATCAATTATCTGCACCTTTCTCTCCCTCCCTCTCTCCCTCACTCTTTCCCTCTGCTCCAACTGTCTTTTTCAGCCACTCTGAGGAAGACCCACTGGTGCGATTACCTCAATCAGTCAACCTCATTGATTTGCCATCCAAAACAATATTTATGTTCTTCAACAACAGACATGTCTCAAAGTCAAGTGTGGTGATCTCTACAGTATAAAGTAAATGTTTACGTTGTATACAAGATATACTAAAACTAAAAATATTGGCCTGAAGATGTAGGCCACAGTAAATACTATATATGTCCACCTGGGATCAGATAGATTTGCTTTGACCAGGACTGTAAATGGTAGTTCAATAAATGCATTCCTAAAACAAGCTTTATACTGGTATAAAGTACAATCAGCTCATACAGAAGAGGACCACATTTAGAGTGACACTGATACGTATATTCACTTTATATCCATGTGGAACAACGCTATACTGTGTGCAAAAACTTACCTAGAGAATTTAGTTATGTAAAACCGTTCACCAAATAAAAGATGTCCATTTATTTTTCAAAGCTGAGTAATTCTGTAAGTAAATATTGATGTTGATTATTTATTTTCATGTGAAAAACAAACTTGCTAGGAGAAAAAGTATTGCAAAGATATTATAGAGGTCTTACTTCCACACAAAATGACAAATTAGGCCACAAACTTATAGTTGCACTCAACATGTGCTTTGATGACCTGCTGACCTGAAGGAAGATGGTAAACAAAGACTACTACATTTGATTTCATGCATATCAACTTCATACCATTTGAAATGAGATGATCAGTTTAATTACAATACAAATGCAAAATTAGCATGTTATTGGCTATCAGATCAAATCAGCAAAACATAGAGAAGGACTTGAAAGCAACTACCTTCTGTCTTAATTATACAGTGGAAATATTCAAACTTGTTTCAAGCAGATGCTTAAGGATAGCGGCAGGGATCTTATTTTTTTCATTATTCACTTCAAAGACATGAGACAAAGCATAGCATAGCAGATACACATTAACATTCATTTATTTCAACAGACATAGATAAGTCATAGGCTTTCTTCTAATCATCAACATTCTGAGAGGACTGTGAGAAAGATGATAGAGAAATTGTTGGCACAAAGCGAGAATTATTTGGTCATTTTTTTAAACGAATGTAACTTTGAATATATTCAGTGAATAAAATGATATAGTCTATACTTGTGCAATTGTTTTTATGTGTGATTCTTTTTGCCATTATAGAAGGATTCAATTGGCATACTGAATAACAAAGAACAGCCTTCATTTAGCTTTCAGCTAGAGCAATGTATATATATTTTTTTAAATAGGGACCTGAACAGACATGATATTTGTGTACAACTCTAATCTCACCTCTACAAGAATAATCTCAATCACAATGGCCATATTCAATTTGCATTATGAAGCATTGATATATTTTGGTAAAAATCTGGTTGTTATTTACAGTTACATAGTAAGCATATTGATCAAGGTCAAATTGTTTTTGTAATATGCATGGGCCTCAGCATGTATACAGTGTAGGCTACATATGGTACGGTAGTGTGTCCATCTCACTGTATGTTAACCTGTGTTCAATCACTCTTGCAATCAGTGCCAGCCACCAGGGCTAATTTGATGGCCTCCTCGGCCTCCTAACAAGCTAAGTGTAATCATGGGAGTGAAAAGGACTGTAAACAAGCCATGTCATTGACTATACTGTATTATAAACTGGGTGGTTCGAGCCCTGAATGCTGATTGGCTGACAGCCGTGGTATATCAGGGGTATGACAAAACACTTATTTTTACTGCTCTAATTACGTTGGTAACCAGTTTATAATAGCAATAAGGCACCTCGGGGGTTTGTGGTATATGGCCAATATACCACGGCCAAGGGCTGTATGCAGACACTCTGCGTTGCGTCATTCATAACAACATCCCTTAGCCGTGGTATATTGGCCATATACCACACACCCTCATGCCTTATTGCTTAATTGTACAATGTTTAGTTCACTGTATAGTTTCTGGTATGGTATAAGAAGACTATCCTACCTCTTTGAATAGAATGTGCTTTCTTCATCGACAAGTAAAAAAGTGTTCACTGACCCTCTTACATGGTGATGTTAAATTCATAACTCATATGAACAGAAAACACTGTCACATTTCCTACATTATTTTGGGATGAATACTCACTATGTTGGAATCATCGAAGCCAGTGTGAAAACGTGCCACAAAAGTCATGACTCAGTGTGTTTACAAGTGTCGAAAGGGCACAGGATATTTGACTCATAAATGTCATAAGCAATGCGCTGCAAGAGGGGGGTCCAAATTAAATGACATTATTAGCAGGAACTTATGTGGGATCTAAAATGAGAAAATACATTCAAATCACTGTCAAGTTGCATCTATGTCAAAGCTTTTAATTACCAGGAAATAACCATTCCAACAGTAAGTACAGGATCCACATATTGTAGATATGGAAAACAATCATATGATGATTCCTTTGACCAACACATTATCTAAACTATCCTCTCACCACGTTGCTGTGGTAACCATGCACCTGTTTCAAGCACAATTTGACAATACCTATCTTTTGTGATTATTAAATGTCCTTATAAATCAAATATAGCAGTGCTTTGCATATTTGGTTTAGTTTTCCATCATCTTTCAGTGTCACCAACAGCCATGTTCCCTGAAGGCAGGGCAAACAAAAATACTTAAATACATTACACTGATCAAGTTTGTTCTGTGCTCCATGCATCTCAATTTGTCACATCATATTCCCATCGTTAAGGTGCTTGGGGTGAAGCAAAACACCATGGCGGTGACTAAGGACAGCAAACAAAGACACAAACATTTCCAGTTGAATAGGGTGGTCAACCTTGTGGCCCTATTCAATCTATCCCCAATAAGTCAAGTAACATCTGTGTGTACATGTCTGTGTGCGCCAGAGACGGCTGGTGAGGGGAGGACGGCTCATAGTAATGAATGGAATGGAGTAAATTGAAGGGTATCAAACACATGGAAACCAGGTGTTTGATGTGTTTGAGATCATTACATTTATTCTGTTCCAGCCATTACTATGAGCCCATCCTCCCCATTTAAAGCGTCACCAGCCACCACTGGCATGCGCATATGTGTGTTTGTGTGTCCACTCCCCAGTGTAAAGCGAATGATATGTGATTATTCCCTACCTTGTGGCGAGGCCAGACTCATTAACTCTCATTACTGTTGATCTTAATGGCCCCTGCAGGCCCCCAGCATTTTTACTCTGAGCTCTAACTGAATGCTCTCACTGGCTCTGGGCAGTAATTGGAACACTACCACTAAAGCGACCCATCCTTACAGATATGGACAAATGGACAGTGTGTGTGTGTGTGTGTGTGTGTGTGTGTGTGTGTGTGTGTGTATGTCCCTGCATCTACAGTATGCACCTATGCCTTTCCACCCAGCCCTCCAACCACACTTTTTTCTCAATGTGGGGGAAAAAAGTAATAAGTCGCAATGTGACTGCCATCCTGAAAAGTGTACCCTTCTAATGCTCTCAACATATCTTGGTAATTACTTAGCTGAGTGTTGGACCACTCATCCTAGACCAGTTTTACACTCTAGTGATACTGTCAGTGTGTGGTGATTCAGTCTTGACTCAGGGGATCAGAGTATTTGGGAAGGGAGTGGGGGCAGCTGATTTCAGGGGGGAATAGTACTTCTTCCTGGCTTCCTGTTTCTTGCCTAGCGGTGTTGCCACATAAAGTCTGTGACAGCATGGAATGGGATCGACCTTTGGCTGTGTGACATATGGCCGGGCGACAGGTGCCAGTCACTCCTTATCAGTGTCACATGGTCCAGAGCTCCATCATACACCAACCCGCGGGTTGTGTCTGTACATGCGCATGTGCATCAAGCACTGTGTGTGATTAATGACGTGTGTGTGTCACCATCACATACTGAGAGATATGAGGTTGAGAGAGAAGCAGAGAATAGAGAAAGGTAGCGAAATGGTTGCCTGATCCTAAAATGAGGGGCGTTGTACAAAACAAATTCATCAGCAATTGGATAATCTCTAAACAGAATATAAACGCACAGAGTTTGATGAAAGCCAATGACGTGATCACAGACTTTCTAAACCCAAAGGTGCAACATCGCGAGACCTCCGGGAACGCTGTGAAACATACCAAACAGACCAGGCCGGGGTTTGAGAGTGAAAGATTCTTCCTTAGTTGTTAATTTTCTCAAAATCTAAAGGCACAACCTAGAATCGAGCCAATGTCTTAAGTAGTTGAACACTCCAACCTCATGAAAGTGACAAATTGACACGTTTTC